TAGAACCTTTGGTAGATGAAGTTAAGGGTACATTGTGGGTTCATATGTTTGCGATATTTTAGCCATTGACGATTATGGTTTACGCAGTTGGGTAGTGTGTATGCACGTTTGTTTAGAGAAAAACAAATAGTCTATAATTTTAGATTCCAACCCCTTCTTCGGATGATTAACATAAGTGATGTTAAGTAATTAAATGGTGCAAGTTGTTTTATGGTGTTAGATTACGCCTTATTTACATAAAATAAATGTTAATAGATAAAGAGAAGTATCTTCAGAAAATAGCACATTAAAGATAAATGTTGATATGTTTTGCCCTAAGGGATTTACAGTATTTTTGTGGTAGATCGATATTTGTAAAAAATGAGAGACATATGAACTTCATGACTAATGACAACATTTAAGTGAAATAGATAATTGATATTAAAGGAAAACTAGCATTAAAATAAAATAGATTTTTTTTTTTTTAAATTATGAGGATAATTATCAAAAATTAAAATAAGAATAAGAAAATAATCAATTTAGTAGTAAAACAAATAATGAGTCTAAGCAATGGGTTTTGTTCATAAATAAGCATAGAAAAAACTTTAAATTGTTTTGGTTTTTAAGAAATAAGTCAAGTTTAAAAAAAAAAGAATGAATAAAATCTCAACAATATTGAAATGTATAACAAAGAAAAGGCAGTTAGTTGCTGAAGTTTAAAAAGCAAATTAAAAAAAAAATATATATATAAAAAAAGAAAGGAAATATTTTGATGAGGAAACTATATACTAATTTTGGAAAAATGTAATAGATTAAGGAGAAAGACATTTTTTTTTTCGCAACAAGGTGTTGTAGTCAAATATGAAATATAGAGTCAGTAACTTAGTTTGTGCTAGACGTAGTTAAAATTTTATCAATGGAATCTTACATGAATGATTTTTTTTAAGAGTAATGAGAATAAATCTGTGGTGTATTTTTAGCGTAAGATTAAATAATGAGACACTAAGGTTAAAGAAGTAAAAGTATTACAATTGGTAACGAAGTAACACATAAAAATTTTAGTATTTATTTTTATAGGTATCATGTAGGTGTAGGGTTATATAAAATGATCGAATTGAACTTATTTGATTGTAAATTTATAATGATTTTCTCACGTCTTGTGTAAATACACATATTTTTTTTTATAATGTAGGATTCTCAAACTTGTAGAAGTTGAATACAACAGTTTCCCCCTTTTATTTTTTGTTTGTTTTAAACAGATAATTCGATATAAAAAAAGAACGTATTGATTTATATATAGGAATTGTTTTACAAAATGTTGCTAGGCTTGAATAACCCAGCGACCTAAAGGCGAGTGAACAAACTATCAATAATCTGATTGATAAATAAAAAAGAAATAAGAGGAAGTTAACAAGTTTAAGTTTTTCCAAATTGAGATAAGTTTATCAGTGGGGTTTAGGTGCGATCTTCATTGGAATAGCCATATTTTTGTACTGTTAATTTGTTCAGAATGTATCTTGGTTGGCCAAAAAGAAAGGTGTGAGTTTTTGTTCTAATGCCACGAACAATGGGTACAAAATGGTGTCTACGTGATTGGTTGGGACAGATGTTACTGATTCCAGAGAGATGTCTTCCTCTGCGCCATTGATCAAGGACGAAACTTAACCGAAGGCCGATGTTAACAGCCTCTTAAGAAGGATGAACTAACCAGCTAGATGCGTCAACTACTTCGTAATGGAGATGATGATGACAGACACATGTACAAAAGTGGGCCCTTTCCAGCAGTTGATGAACAATATGCTATAATGGTGACGGGAAAAAGTATGCACAATATATATCCAAATATTGAATTTATGAATCATATGAACTCTATGTGTCCAGATGTTGGACTTGCCGCATTTTATGAACTATAGATATGTGGTGATGGTTAAGGGAAACCTTACAATAATTAAACTATTAGAATAACCTACAGGAAGAAAAATACCGTATTTTATTGAACTTTCGTTCTATTTTGGATGGAAGGCATTATGTAACACAATTGTGTTCCATACGTTAATCATCCGGAAGTAACTAAATACAGCAAATCCGAAACGATTACATGTAACCTTTAGACACTTAATAACAATCTGTACGAATATTATAGACATATACCCTGCAGCCAATAAATGACCATGTCTACTGTGAAATAACATGTATCCGTCAGGGGTTAATTGCATAGTTTGACAATTAACCACAGACTAGTATTACTCCACAACCAGACTACTACGTAACTGGCCTACAGCTATGGGCCATTGTGTAACGATGGATGACCCCTCTGAACTATATAAGATCCAGCTTTGGACTCGAAGGATAGATTCGTACAGAGAGAATCCGACAGGAGATTCCGCCAAGGTCTCCCCCCTTGTGGGTAGGCTGGAATTAATTCACTAACCATCCGAATTACTCAGTCTGGACCGAACAGTTATACCACTATATGATCACGTGTCCGTGTGACGATATGAACATTCGAACAATTCAACTTTAGAGACAGTTTGTGAACAATCTAACATTTGAACTTTAGAAACAGTCTTAACTTTGTAATTACATAATAAAAATTATTTATCCACTTACTGACTTCGTTACATGTTGTCGGACATACCATGATTAAATCTGTTCATCTTGTAGACATTGTTGTCGGACCGACCTAGATTCACTCTCCCTACCCTGTAGACAGTTGTTGGATACACCTATATTCACTCAGCTTACCCTGTAGACCGTGTTGTCAGATAAACATTGATTCACTCTGTACCCTGTAGACAGTGTTGTCGGACACACATAGATTCACTCTGCTTGCTATGTAGAGAGTGTTGTCAAACACACCTTAATTCACTCTGCTTACCAGGTATACCCTAGGCCTGTAGACAATGTTGTCAGATAAACCAGGATTCATTGTTTACACGACAGTGTTGCCATACACACCTTAATTACCTATGCTTACCATAGGCCTGTATACAGTATTGTCAGACACGCCTTTATATTCACTCAGCTTACCCTGTATACAGCATTATCAGATGTATCATGATTCACTCTGTTTAGCCTGTAAAAAAATTGTCAGGTAGTCTTTAATTCACTCAGCTTTTCATGTAGACAGTGTTGCCATACACACTTAAATTCACTAGTATTACCCTAGGCCTGTAAATCGTGTGGTCGTACACACCTATATTCACTCAGCTTACCCTGTATACTGTGATGTCAGAAAAACCTTGATTCGGTGTTTACCCTGTAGACAGTATTGTCGGACAAACCATGTATCACTCGTCTTTTATCTTTAGACAGTGTTGTCCGACATACCATGATTAAATCTGCTCATCTTGTAGACATTGTTGTCGACCCACCTGGATTCACTCTCCCAACCCTGTAGACAGTTGTTGGATACACCTATATTCACTCAGCTTACCCTGTAGACCGTGTTGTCAGATAAACATTGATTCACTCTGTACCCTGTAGACAGTGTTGTCGGACACACATAGATTCACTCTGCTTGCTATGTAGAGAGTGTTGTCAAACACACCTTAATTCACTCTGCTTACCAGGTATACCCTAGGCCTGTAGACAATGTTGTCAGATAAACCTGGATTCATTGTTTACACGACAGTGTTGCCATACACACCTTAATTACCTATGCTTACCATAGGCCTGTAGACAGTATTGTCAGACACGCCTATATATTCACTCAGCTTACCCTGTATACAGTATTGTCAGATGTATCATGATTCACTCTGTTTAACCTATAAAAAAAATTGTCAGGCAGTCTTTAATTCTAGGCCTGTCTGTAGATAGTGTTGTCGGACAGACCTAAATTCACTTTGCTTTCCATGTAGACAGTGTTGTCGGACACATATTGATTCACTCTGCTTAACTGTAGACAGTGTTGTCGGACACACATATATTTACTCTGCCTACCCTGTAAACAGTGTTGACAGAACACCTGGATCCACTCTGCCTACTCTGTAGACAATGTTGTCAGACACACCTAGATTCACTCTGCTTACTCTGTAGACAGTGTTGTCGGACACACCTAAATTGACTTAGCTTTCCCTGTAAACAGTGCTGTCAGACACACCTTAATTCACTCTGCTTTCCCTGTAGACAGTGTTGTCAGACACATATAAATTCACTCTGCTTACCTCGAGACAGAGTTGTCGGACACACATAGATTTACTCTGCCTTTGCTGTAAGCAGTGTTGACAGAAACACCTGGATTTACTTTTAGATTTCATGAAAACAGATGTATGAACATTAAATGATGAATACCCTGTAAACACAGTGTTGTCTGACAAAACTGGATTCATTGTGTTTGGAATTTAGAAGATTCTCTTCACTCCTTTGTTTGTGTTTTTGCTGAAATTATGATGTTTAAACTTAATTTTTCAGCATCCTGAATATTGTCTTATTTTTGTAAACTTCTGATTAATATTTCAAACTTTTTGCTTTTAAAAATATCAGTCAAAGGTGAAAACACCTTGGTGCCTCAGGGTTTCTGCCTATATCTGAATCTTAAAAAAATATACATAAGATCGAAATTCCCAAACACATCAGTAACTTAATGCTTGTCTTATATAAGTGTAAACACTTCCAATGTTAACATTACAGCTGATAAGTGACATTGTACTGCATATGCAATACCCTCAGAATGCTTGTATAATGAACCTTACTTTATGGGATGGGTTTTGCTCATTGTTGAATGCAGTACAGTGACCAGTAATTGTTCACATCTTTATCCTTTGGTCTATCTGAATAGTTGTCAGGTTGTCACATTGACAATCATAAGACACCTGATTATGTTTAGATCTTACTAATTTTCATGTAAGTCAAAGGTACTCCCTATTTAAGCAATCAACAATTTACACATCTTAAAATTCTGATAGACCCATGATGCATTGAGAAAAATTTGAACAGGGCAGACAAAACTCAATCTCTCAGAACCCAGTAATAAATCTGAAAGTGTATAAAAATTGTCATTGTAAATAAGGCAACAGTCATAAAAATAATGATTCTTTTAATATTTTAATAATCCTTTCAACTCTTTCCATTCTACATATCACAGGTAGCTAAGTTCTATGGTGTCATTGGTCTGGTTTTACTCTATGATTCACATTCTGCAAAAACAAAGATAACAAAATCATGAAATATTCATTGGTCAGTACTGGAGGTTCATATATGCAAAAGAAGCACAAAAATGGAAAATACTTTTATAATCTTTAACTGTTAAAAAAAATGTAAAGTATGTCAAATGATCATTCTGTACCAAATAAATTTTACAAACTAGACCGAAAAGTCAATTTTAATATCTTTCTTCTGTTAGCCTAAATAAATAGTTTCCTCATTTTCACTACTCTCGGGCAACGGGCTAGGGACTTAAAGTACAGATCAAATGACATCAACAATATCAATAGGAAGGACCTTTTAAAAACTACATACAGCTATCATTGAATCAATTTAGGATTTTTTTTATGCATAAATGACATATCAAGAATGACAATACACCAAGCAATAAAAGTGATTTCAAAGTGCCTTTCCTGGATGTCCAATATATTTCAATGCAATAACATGCATAAACTCATTGTAACAATTGATATAAATACAAATTGTAACATCAATAAAAATATAAATACTATAAACTCAAACTTTAACTGATATGAAAGGGAATGTCATATGTTAACATTGTCACATGACAGTCTATTCTTTTCAAATAAAATTTACATGTACCTTGGTGACAAACATTTTTCTATAGCTCAATTTGTTTCGTATGATGAGAGCAATACATTGTAATAGTGATGGTATTCAATACAATGGATTGACTTCCTTTTATTAATTTTTAGACAGTTGATCATTTTCTGTCACTTGTATTTATGTTTTCTGCCTACCAAATAAAGATTTTCAAACTTTTAATGAGAGAGTGTCTTACCTTTAAAACATTTAAGACGGAATGACTTTCTGGGCTGCTGCCTCGATAGCTTGTTCTGCTTCAGCCTTTGCCATCTCTCTGGCAACAAAAATAGCTACTAGGAATACACCCCAACTTTTACCCAAAGTCCTAAAAGACATTTCAAAACATTCAAACAAATTTAAATAATTTCAAGTCCTAACAATATTTTTGCAAAGCTCCAGACAAATTTTCAAGAGCAAATGGCTTCCATGTCTAGCTGGCGCTGTTAAGTTTGTGTTTTGGTATTACCTACTTTTTATTTGGCTTTCATCCCTTAATTTAGGGCAAGTTTTTGGTTTGATCATTTAAATGTTTTTGTTGTTTTTTCTCCCCATTACGTTAGACTTAACTGCATACAATACATTGCCCTTAAATCAATTTGGTAGTTTCACATTAAGAAATCATATATAGCAGTTAAACTATTATTAATTAAGATGTTATAATAATATGAACACTTTTGTATAAACTACTGTGAATTTTGTCTGGTATAAAAATAGTGAAGGAGAAAAGTCTCTGTTTTTGTACATATATATACGTACATGGTGAAAAGAGTACAAAGACCTTTATGAATTTGATAGTTTGAAGTACTTAGTCAGTTGATTAGCTTTCAAGGAAAGGATATTTAATGATCAGATTATATTTCAAAATTGGAATAAATATACATGTACTTTGATCAAGGAGAACCTAGTTTTTACTTTCTGAAATGTAGACATACATGTATAATTATCATCACTCCACTGGTGTAAATTAAAGAGCTGATTAAATGATTTATAGTGAAACTGTTTATTGTAAAATTCTGCATGCGTAGGTCTTTGTCTTTAACAGTATCAAACAGTTTGGCCTTAAACAAGGGAAATAACTCCAACATGAATTACCTCAATGGAAAAATTGATATGAACTCCATGTAGATCACTGCAGAAAAAGGTATAGGGACAGTCAGGCGACAATCAATACATTTTTTTAAACCTAAACTGGCAATGTCTGAACGATAGTTAGATGCTTAGAACTGCTTTTTGTGTAGGGTTTTTACTATATATAAAATGAGTTATTTGAAAAATATATAAACAACTTTTTTTATCATGTTTATAGACATGATAGAAAATGAAATATTTTTTCTCAGTGAACCATATATGTTCATTTTCCAGGTTTAAAAAAGTTACTAGCCTTGAAAATAGCAAATTTTTCAAGGTTTTCATAGGCTAATACAGCTTCTTGGTCATTCAGTTTAGGACTGTTAATCTTTTGTCCAAAAATTTGCTGTGTTTTCATATTAATTTGTGCCATTTCAAGTATAACATGTATAACATGGGAATAAAAAAATATGAGTTGTTTAACACTATGACTAGAAAAGTACCCCTCATTTGAAGAATACATTATGATAATTTACTCATTATGGGGAACTATGGGTAACACGAATCACCAAATAACACCGTTATTAGCCAAATAACACTTGTAATCACCGAATAACACTTGAAATTTTAATATTAGCACAATATTGGTGACATTTAAACATTGATAATTAAATAATATTGTATTATAAGTGTATTTTATAACTTAAAAATGATTTATAGAAAGCAGGTAAGTTCATAAAGATCGCATTAAATATTAGTGTGTACATCCAACATGGCGACCAAGGAAAACACAATGGGAAGAATAAAAGAATGATTGCATACAATCCCTCAACGTGTTCATTTTAGACCACCAAAGTGGAGCCCTCACGCCACGTCAAAGCAATGAACAATGTGAGGGTTGGCGCCTCCCCTTTTAAAGAAAATATGGAATATTTAACTGTTTACAATAATAATTTTTTTTTATAGTTATTAAAAAAATAATATTATAATCAAAAGTTTCTACTTTTAAATAAAATATCTGTGTATTATTTATTTTTTTTTAATTTAAAAATGGAGAGAAACCAAGCCCTTTTTAAAACTACTAAGATATCCTGCACAAGGCACGGGCTTATCTGTTATAGTCCGCGAAAACAATTTATTTAGAAATTATTGTAAAAAATTAAAACTACTAAGATATCCTGCACAAGGCATGGGCTTATCTATCGTAGTCCGCGATAACAATTTATTTAGAATTTTATTGTAAAAAATTAAAACTACTAAGATATCCTGCACAAGGCACGGGCTTATCTGTCATAGTCCGCGAAAACAATTTATTTAGAATTTTATTGTGAAAAATTAAAACTACTAAGATATCACGAGTCCTGCACAAGGCACGGGCTTATCTATCGTAGTCCGCGATAACAATTTATTTAGAATTTATTGTAAAAAATTAAAACTACTAAGATATCCTGCACAAGGCACGGGCTTATCTGTCATAGTCCGTGAAAACAATTTATTTAGAATTTTAATGTGAAAAATTAAAACTACTAAGATATCCTGCACAAGGCACGGGCTTATCTGTCGTAGTCCGCGAAAACAACATTTTATTTAGAATTTATTTAGAATTTTATTGTAAAAAATTAAAACTACTAAGATATCCTGCACAAGGCACGGGCTTATCTGTCATAGTCCGCGAAAACAATTTATTTAGAACTTATTGTTAAAAAATATTTCTTATAATAGTCCTTGGTCACCGAAGATGCTGTCTAGTACGGACTCTCTATCTTTTTTGTTGATTCCATCCTGCGGGGGGAAATAAGATCGGATCGGTATCTTCATTGCGGCACTCAGTGCATACATATGCATCATGTCAGCGTATGTACCAAATTAATTTTAAAACTATTCAATTAAAGACTTAAAGCTTGGTATTTGAACAACAAACGTTCACAGGTTAATTTTATCTAAATAAGAAACAAGTTAAATATAATCGAATAAGTGAAATTAATGTCTTCATTAAAATTAAATATGTACAATTTCACATTTGTTCTTTATATATTTCATATACATTCTAATAAATATTATGTTGAAAATATACTTTATAAAATTACTTACCTTTCTAGGGACTTGGCCATGACGTACTCAGTCAGGGGTGCTATTTAAACAAGTGATTTCATCATCACTTATTTCAGTGATTTGATAAATTCAGTTATCACCTATTTAAGTGATTTTAGTGTTTTCTTTGATCTTCAAATGCTAATTTCATTGATTTTCCATATTTTCACAATCTTTTCTATAATTTTCCTACATAAATCAATTATCCCTTTTTCTTTGTATATTAATTTCACCAGTGCGCTTGGGCAGTAAGTTAGTGCGCTAAAGCTTTTAAAAGTACCCTTGGGAATTTTTCTGTAATCAAAAATTCATTAACTACTCTTACTATCAGACAAAGATCAACAATATTAGGTAACCTGATTGGTTTTCTTTAGAGTTAGAATGATCTACTTCAAGGTTATGACCTGATCTACAAACTATTCCAGTTTTTGCATATTTTAAAAAAACTGTAAAAGTGTCGGGCTTATCAAGCAAAAGACAATTTCTGCATGTACATACACATGTAGTTGTTTTTTCAATGGAATTGTTGTCTTTTTACCAATAAAAAAATCAAGCTTGTGGGAAAAATATCAAGAAAATGTTATAAACACTTATTAAAGTGATTACATTTTAACTTCTAAAATTACTTGTTTCAGTGATTTTAAAAAGTCTGTGTGAAAATTTTTAATACTTCACAGCCAAAATCACTTGAGGAAGTGATTCTGAAATCACTTGTTTAAGTAGTACCCCTGACTGGTACTTGTTGTCTGTAAAGCAGCAGTCCTTACATAGGAACTTTAGAGACACATCTGACCAGGCCGATAACATTGAATCATTCATTGGGACACAAGCACTGTGAACCCAACGATCACAACTACTGCACTGAATTGTGCAATCAACACAAGGATATAAAGCCATTTTAAAAATGGAAGACAGCACATATGTCTTCACATGTTTTTATACCAATTTTTGGTAACTTGTAAAAACATTAATATTTGCCAATGAAAATCTTTAATACAATACTCTGTATATACAGTACATTATTTAATATTTTATTTTCATAGCTTTTCCCTTTGTATGCATATGCAATCATTCTTTTATTCTTCCCATTGTGTTTTCCTTGGTCGCCATGTTGGATGTACACACTAATATTTAATGCGATCTTTATGAACTTACCTGCTTTCTGTAAATCATTTTTAAGTTAAACAATACACTTATAATACAATATTATTTAATAATCAATGTTTAAATGTCACCAATATGTGCTTATATTAAAATTTCAAGTGTTATTCGGTGATTACAAGTGTTATTTGGCTAATAACGGTCTTATTCGGCGATTCGAGGTACCGGGGAACTATTCCCGTTTTGCTGGTTGTCCCCAACCTGTTTTACATGTTTGAAAATAAATATTATTCATTTAATGATTCATATTCATGTAATCAATATCAAGAGAAAAAAATTCATCCCTATAGGGATTCCTAGGTCAGAGATGTTTTCAGAGAAGAGCCAAATAAGAACATGTACAGCAGAAAACAGCAAGTTGACCTCCAAATCCAAAACTGGTTTAGAGCTAGCCTACATGTAGTTTCATCTTTAGAGGTAAATCATAACATATCAAATACATCAGATTTAATTATTCAAGAGTAGTTCCAATGGTGTAAGAAACATTTATAGCTTCTGAGGCATGTGACAGCCTGTCGATGTGCAACAACCCACATGACCTGAGTTATGTCATGAGAAACGTATACATATAAAATTATGCAATATGCAAGACGTCCAAATTTACAGGAAGGAATGGTTACCTATAATAACGTTCGTTCTATATGAAAAAATCTCTAGTTACCAAACAAACGGGTTATTCCACAGATTTTTAGCTACCCCTTTAAAATCCATGTTGACTTTTGTGTTTTGTTCACCACACGCTTCTTCCGGTGACAGCACTGTAGTGGTGAGTGGAACGGATATATCGTGTGTTTTTTTTATGTCATGTTAAATTATGGCTCCCATGTAGGAGCACTCATACTTGAACAGTTTTTCCGTTTATACTTTTTTTTTCTTCTTCATATTTGGAATCCTTTCGAAGCACAGAAGTGTTTGAACAATAGTTCTTATATGATTTGCATATCTTCAAATATGGGATTGGTCCGTTAGAACTGAGACTATATATAGTAGTCTCAGGTTAGAATTTCCACTTCAGAGTTGATTTAGTGTATGACATATGGCTTAGGTCCTTTCTTGGAAGTTGTTACGACATGTCAACCGTGGATTTGACGGTAGATACTAATGAAAATAAAATGTTTATTACAAGTTGCAAATGTTTGGGTTAAGAATTATAAGGTTTAAACACATTTTTCTATAGGTTATTGATGTTGCCGGAGTGATTGATTAGTGATTTTAGTTTACGCCGAATCAGCACATAAAGGCTCAGATGGTGTGTAAACTGAGTCGCTGACTCAAAAACTTTACATAAAATCCTTTTGTTCAGTTTGTGAGTTAATGGCCCCAGTTTACATATCAATATTCTCTAGAAAATGTGTTTAAGTCAATAATTACGTTATCGGACAGACACCTTATACTTAATAGCATTTTTTTGGTGTCAAGTGAACAGCTATATCGAAGTCACCTGGGACTATCATACTTTAGTATAATAGTTCCAGAAGTAACTTAGTAATTTTAAACCAGAGGAGACTGAACTTTGAGCACCTACATGCTACCTGGGTTGTACATGGTAACTTATCCCCGGCTTAGTATATTTCTAGGATTTTGATTGGTTAACGCACGTCGTTACAAAACCCATAGCCCCTGGGTGTTGCTAACCCATATCCCCGGACGTTGCTACCCATTACAACGGGGAATTTCACGCGCGTTTTCCTTAATTCCATGGTTGTTCCTTATGAAATATCGAATTCTGTAGATTTTCCATGATGTCTGTATAATTAAATACTTAATCCACTAACGATTTTATCTTATTACCTTGCACTCATTTTAGTAAATGCATCACTATGCAGCCACATTGTCAATGAATGGTACTACTGACCTAGCTATGCAAATGTCCCACGTTGACGTCACACCCTTTATGATGTAACTCTCACAACATTGCGCGCCAAATTCGACCCATTTCAGTTTCTCTGTCTCTACTTTAAAAACGTCTTATATTTGTCTACCTGTAGGGTTCTACCAAAGGTAGAACCCTACACCCCGTTAAAAATATGTCAAATTCCCAAATTTCAATAAAAGATATTTAAAAAATGAAAAAAACGTTGCTTTCACGTTTCACTTTGTGGTCGAATTTCTCTAAAAATCGCCAGATTTAGACTAAAACCGGGGATAAATTCGTTATCTACGTTCATATCCGTAGAAATGGATATTTTAACACCCTTCAGTACCCTGTACACCCTTCGGCTGCGCCTCAGGGTGTACTTGGATACTTCAGGGTGTTAAAATATCCATATCTACGGATATGAACGTAGATAACTTATATTATTACGTCCACCAACAGTCCCAAAGACTATATGAATAGGTATCATAGTGATCTCAGGACAGCCTTGAGTCGACATGGCGCTTCTCTAAGGTATGAACTGTGTTGTAAAGAGTATAGTACGCGGATATTCATATAGTATGTATGAAAAATGGATCTTTTTTCCTTTATATATTCTTAATGTATTTATACATATCCGATGATTTCAGTGTCGAATTGACCTCCATCACCATTTTTCTGACTGCCAACTGACGAGTGATGTTAACATGGTTAAGTCCTGTTGTAATTGTTCGTAGTCGACTCGTCTCTGGGTGATACTACGAAGTACAAACGACTGGCATCAGGGAAAAGTCGTATGGAAGATGAAATGTTGTTTCTTATATCGTTGAATTACAACAAAAACATAAGAGGTCCTACCACGTTTCCTTGTTGTACACCTGATTTCACGTGTACTGAAGGCGATTCCTCTCCTTTCACAGGACTGTCTGCTGTATTATTCTTAGTCATGATTTCACCCATCCATTGATCCATAATACTAAAATTTCCTAAACAGTCTTGTATGTGACACGGTGTTAATGCCTTGCTTAAGTCTAATAATAATATCAATAAGTCTACTTGTTGTTCGTTGTCTAGACGTGTAATTTCTTTTATTGTTATCTACTGCGATACGCATGACCCCTCTGTTTAAATCCATGTTAAAATAGTAGCTCCTAGGTTTAAAGATGAAGAGGTCTAGATGCTTGCACCTAAGTATGTTCATTTTTTCTTATGTTTACCCGACGGTACCGTATGCGTGAGTATGTGTGCACACATGAACAGCCAAAATTAAATTGAAAATTAATTTTGCCTATTTATGTGTAGGGTATTGTTATATGTATAGCTATATATCCTTTTATGCTTATGATCAGTTATAATTTTATTGGGTATCCATAGTGCCAGTTGAAAATACATTAGGTTGTTGCTTAACTTGTGCGTCGTTTAATATTTCAAGGACGAGAAGAGAGACGCTCAATACGGGAAATTACCAATTTTGCTGTACAAGTTAGTGATGATGAGCTTATTATCAATTACTAGGCAAATGAGCTTATGGGTAATCTTGAGAGTTGGGCACACAAAGGAACTTCTCTAAATACAGAAAAAAAATTATACTTTTAGTTTTGGGACGAACTGTACTATTGACACCACAAGACACCAATCGTGCGTGTTGTGTGTGTGTGTGTGTGTTCTTTAAAACATTTTTAAGCAGGGAAGCTAAAAAAAAGCTTGTAAGTACATCTTTTTGAAAATTAGTTAAAAATAAAATATAAACAACACTTATTATAACTTTGTTTCTTGTTCCTGTATGTTATAGGAAAAACGTTTGTAATTGTTACAGTTGAAAAAAAGTGTGTCCCGAGAGAGAAAAAACTGACCTCTCTCTTCCTCCACACACATGGTAAATGGTTTGTGCCTTAGATTTGTTTCTTTCCCGAAGATTGCAATGACTCCATCTAAACTGGCAGATTTTAATTACAATGTCTCTTAACTTTAACAGATAGTCGGTCACTTTCTAAATACTATTTGTGCAAATGTAAGAAATCTTTAAGCATTGCTTTGTACTTGGTTATGTAGACCATTTCTTCAAGAATTTAGCTGTGCATGTTTGAAGACAAGAGACACATAGTTAAGAACAAATTACCACTAAGCACTGAAACAATACACCCACTGAAACAATACACCTTCATTGTTTTATCCACAATAATGTTCAAATTTCCCCGCATGATCTCTAAAAAATCGATGTCGAAAGAGTTATTTCCCAACCTCCCAATCAATTAATTTCTGATACGTCATTATCTACCTATTTTCGCTTGTTATCCTTGTACCTTTATAAAAATTTCTGGTATCTCCATTGAATTTTTGGTAGAGTAAAACTATTCCAGTTAAAAAAAAATCTGGTAAAAATGCACAAACGAGTTACAGACATTTAATAGTTATCTCCCTTACGCCAGACATAAGCAAGACCCTTAATTACCCCCTCGTATCTTATTTACCTATGTCGAAGACCGATAAGCTTATGTTATATGTATGCATTCTTCACATGTGTTTCACTTATGCTCCACTTCTGTTAATAATATAATCATTTACTGATAAGGGCAGGTTTATTCTGGATGGACATGAAATGACGTTTAATATACACTGAATATAAAAAAATATAAATAAGATAATTTATTAAGTAAACAATAAGTATACATGCAAGTATTCTCTGACCAAATACATTCATTTTTAATCATGAAGAAGAAAATGTGGTATCATTGCCAGTGATACAAATATCCATGAAAGATAAAAACAAACAAAAAACAAACAAACAAAAAATTAAAAAAAAACAAACAAACAAAAACGACAAGGATGATAACATATACATGTCACTTTACGGCCTTCAGCAATGAACAAATCTCAAAAACCGTATTATAAGCTACAAAAGACATCAGGATAAGAAAACGTGAAACAATTCATAAGAGAAAAATAACGATTAAAGCTAATACTATTGAACGGAAAATAAATATATCAGATTGATTATAAGTACTAAAACAACTGACAAAATGACATAAGTCAAAAATTACCAATCGAAGAGTACTCGCAGTTACTGAAAGCTAGTCCAATGCCCAATTACCACTAATAAATAGAATATGTTCTCATGACCCCAGACTAAATATCAATCAACATACCTCCAATGGATGTAAAGACCCCAAAAGCAGCCTGGAAAAATCACGAACTGTGCAATGTTAATGTCAAAATGTAAGTACCAACATGGTGCAGGATCAAACGTGTTTACATAAGTGGATAACTACATGATTAGTTATGTCAAAATGTAAGTATCAACATAGTGCAGCATTTCAAATTAAAGATTTATGTGTAATTATTTACATTGAGGCTTAATTATTTGAGTTTCTGTTAATTTGGCGTTCCATACAGGAGGGTCTGGGTGGGAGGTCCTTTATTTCTTTTTTCTTTATAGTTTCGAATTTTTTTCTCTCTTCTTCATTCATTTTGCCTATAATATTATTCTCTTTTCTATATATTTTACCACCCCATTATTCTCTATTCTCTTATTTTTTCCTTTTCTGCACGTTTTGCCGATAATTCTGTATTCTGTAAATACAGTCCTGACCTTCATAAAGTATGTGTTTCGATAACAATTTACACAACGCAAAGAGAAACTAAAAGTGTTCATAACAAGTTGTATGCGATTTTTTACTTATAATTTTAGGGACGTATTACAATTATTACACAGCCGATTTTCGTTATTTCAATGCATTACATTTTAAATATAAAAATCGATCAATAATTATAATAGGTACATCCTTTGGTGTTTTTTTTTGTATTGTTAGGTTGTTGTCTCATTGAAGTTAAATCGAAATCTCCCTATAATCATCACATTTACAAGGAAACACAACTTCCAGTTATGATATATTTCACCGAAAGAAGTATTCCTTAAAGATAAACTCAGTGCCACATATTGATTGTTCACGTAGAAATACAAAATATAATTCGCTTTCCTTGGTCGTATTTTGACTTAGCATATAATTTGATCTTGTCTCGATAACAGTTTAGTTAACAAGATAAACCACGAGTCCAGAACCTCACACCTGATACACTATAAACCGGTCAAACAGTCAACACTCTTATCGGATAAAGATAGAACTTCAAAATAATGAAACTATCTGCTCGAGTGAGAGGAGATTGGTTTGCTGTACCATGCAAAGGGGCCGAGAGTGTAAAATGGCTGGGAGAGGAGACATTAAGGAGATACTACAAAGCCAAGAGTTCCTCGGGTCATGCTATAGAAAAAGTATTCGAAGTGAGAAAAGCCAAAGGAGGGGCAATTTTAGATCAAGATGACGCCATTAAACATGTACTGGATGACAATGATTTTGTTACTGTGGGTCAGTGTCTTAATTAATGATAATAATGATAATTATAATAATGATGATGAATATCATAATGATAAAACTACTTATAGTAATGATTACAGCATATTTTATTGCTTCGCAAAGAAACATCTTGTCTAATCTAATACGAAATCATAACTACGAATATTGAAATTACGAGAAGCATTAAAAAATACAGCAAACTACATTTGATTTGTTGTATAATTAGTAAGCCTCAAAAAATGTAAGTGGACTAAGGAGTAACCTCGTTGTCAATTTTGTTGCGCGTACATGTGCCCGCCCATTTTCAATTCTCCGAAAATTAGTAATTAACAGTCAATATTGTGACTTGGTATGCAGGTTCAAACATGCATCTCTACCACCTGAGGTTACATTATCTATAGGTTGATCAGTTCCTGAACACCGTGAAGTCTTTAGTCAACAGCATGCATCTCTACCACCCGAGGTTACATTATCTATAGGTTGATCAGTTCCTGAACACCGTGAAGTCTTCAGTCATCAGCATGCATCTCTACCACCCGAGGTTACATTATCTATAGGTTGATCAGTTCCTGAACACCGTGAAGTCTTTAGTCATCAGCATGCATCTCTACCACCTGAGGTTACATTATCTATAGGTTGATCAGTTCCTGAACACCGTGAAGTCTTCAGTCAACAGCATGCATCTCTACCACCCGAGGTTACATTATCTATAGGTTGATCAGTTCCTGAACACCGTGAAGTCTTCAGTCATCAGCATGCATCTCTACCACCCGAGGTTACATTATCTATAGGTTGATCAGTTCCTGAACACCGTGAAGTCTTCAGTCAACAGCATGCATCTCTACCACCCGAGGTTACATTATCTATAGATTGATCAGTTCCTGAACACCGTGAAGTCTTTAGTCATCAGCATGCATCTCTACCACCTGAGGTTACATTATCTATAGGTTGATCAGTTCCTGAACACCGTGAAGTCTTTAGTCATCAGCATGCATCTCTACCACCCGAGGTTACATTATCTATAGATTGATCAGTTCCTGAACACCGTGAAGTCTTTAGTCATCAGCATGCATCTCTACCACCCGAGGTTACATTATCTATAGGTTGATCAGTTCCTGAACACCGTGAAGTCTTCAGTCATCAGCATGCATCTCTACCACCCGAGGTTACATTATCTATAGATTGATCAGTTCCTGAACACCGTGAAGTCTTCAGTCATCAGCATGCATCTCTACCACCCGAGGTTACATTATCTATAGGTTGATCAGTTCCTGAACACCGTGAAGTCTTTAGTCATCAGCATGCATCTCTACCACCTGAGGTTTCATTATCTATAGGTTGATCAGTTCCTGAACACCGTGAAGTCTTTAGTCATCAGCATGCATCTCTACCACCCGAGGTTACATTATCTATAGATTGATCAGTTCCTGAACACCGTGAAGTCTTTAGTCATCAGCATGCATCTCTACCACCCGAGGTTACATTATCTATAGGTTGATCAGTTCCTGAACACCGTGAAGTCTTCAGTCATCAGCATGCATCTCTACCACCCGAGGTTACATTATCTATAGATTGATCAGTTCCTGAACACCGTGAAGTCTTTAGTCATCAGCATGCATTTCTACCACCCGAGGTTACATTATCTATAGGTTGATCAGTTCCTGAACACCGTGAAGTCTTCAGTCATCGAATTGTATAAGACAAAACCATTTACGGACTCATATTTCACATTCTTTTGTCTTTGATTAACTTTTACATTCGATTTCAGATTTTGAACTTAAGAGATGGACCTTTCAAACCTTTTTTATATGATTTTTACAGTATTTTTTAATGTAGTTTTGTTTCACAACTTTCCCATGTTACGACTCTGCCTCATCGAGAAACCCTGCCACATTCATTGAGTGCCTGTCCCAAGTCAGGAGCCTATAGTCAAGTGACTGTCGCTGGTTGCCGTTTGTCACTGTTATTGTTATCCGTTTTCCTTTTTCCGTTTTAAAATGTTATTTGTTTATATCAGACAGTTGGTTCTCTTTTAAATTGTTTCACAGTTTGTTATATCGGAACCTTATATAGTTGATGAGTTTTGTTCGGCCGAACGGTGACCTATAACAGTTCACACCTATGTCATTTTGTCCATAGGGATAGCTGTCTCATTGAACATCATATCACGTTTCTTAATTTTTATATGTCACTTTAATAAAGCCAGTATCTGTTTGGTTCGACAACTTCAAACCCAAAGTAGGTCACTATGACGCAATTGATTTGTGTGATATGAATTTTAATTTAGATATAAAGAAGATGTGGGTATTCGCCAATAAGACAACAACTCACCGACACAAATAACCAAAAGATATCAAGAGGCATACCGTCTTCAATAACAGACAGTTGTATTTACAAAATGTCAAGCTCTAAATCGTCTTATAAAGTTGTGAATAAATTACTAGCAAATAGAAACTATCAAAGCCTGTGATAAGCTATATGCACCCGAGTAAAAAGTATTATTTCTTATGCAGCAAAAATACTGCAATTGCTGATTGGTTAAATACCACGATGCAAATAACACCCCACCCTTGTTCACCCCGGGATAAATAAAATTTTGCCAAAAAATTAAAAAACAAAAAATTTGCCAAAATAAAGAAAAAAAATAAAATGTAAAAAAAAATTAAAAAAAATAGATAAATAAAATGTCAAAAAAAAAAACAATATATAAAAAATAAATAAATTTGAGGACAAACATTTGTAAATTTTTTTTTTTTTTTAAATTTAAAAAACAATTTTTTTTTTCTGAATTTCCCAAAAATAAAAAAAAAAAGGACTTGACAATACGCAGCAACATCAACGTTGAAAAAATGTTACACTGGAAATTTTTCATTAGCATTTTTCAATTTTACATCCCGGTTTAAAAATGATTATTAAATTGGTTGCAATGAATTATATTGATTTCCCAGTGAAATAAAAACCGATAATTTCACATGTGAAATAAACGTGGTTATTTCACTCCTCTGACGTCATACAACAATAGGCGTTGTCAAGACGTCGATAATGTCGGATCAAAACAAATTGTGAATGCGTAGAAAAAGATATAGTTCCTTACGTTTTCTACTTTAATTTCATAAAAAAGCCATTTGCCAATGTAATAAAAAGAATAACCAATCAAAGAATTCAAATATCGAAAAATATTCAACTCGTGACCGAACAACACTGATAATTAACTCATGCGCTACGCGCATTCGTGAATTAATGTGTTGTTCGGTCACTCGTTGAATATTTTTCTCTATTTGAATTCTTCGATTAGTTATTCTATAAGTAAAGGAATTGTTCATAAGAAATAAATTCGTTATTTTGGTGTAATCAGGGGTGTACGGAATTTTACACCGTTGTTGAAAATAAACGTATTTACTATTTTGGTATTTAGCTATATTTTGCCTCCGAATGACCTTAGATCTACTCCGAATCACCTTTTGACGTCAGGCAACAATCACTTTTTAATTGTGACGTCAAATGTTTTGAATTATGATGTCAAAGTTTACGGGAACCTGTGTGATTTTACGTAATGGCGGACAAATTTGCATACAAGTGTAAATACGTCTATTCATACACCTATTCGACTGCGCCTCAGGGTGTATGAATTTTCAACAACGGTGTAAAATTCTGTACACCCCTGATTACACCAAGATAACTAATAATATTCCCTGAGCTAAACGTCGCGTGTTTTTTACACGTATGTCTGAAGTTTAATTGGTTTTGGTAAATAATAGTCATCAAATACATTGTTTTCTCTTGGAATATGGAATAACATACTGTCTTTTGTTTAGGTAAATATGTAGTTTAGCTGAATGCTCAAAAACTGATATTCACTTCGGCCACTGACCTCAATGAATACCAGTTTTTAAAGGCAAAAAAACCCACATATTTACCTCATCAAAAGACAGAAATTGTATAATATTATTCCGAATAAGAAATGCTTACAGTTAAAGAAAGCTCGACGCCTGAGGTCAGAGCAATCTCGGACTAACCGAAGGCAAGCTCAAGTACTTTTCATGCTGATATAAAATCATGCTATCATACACTCTAATATTGGTGACTGTAACTTCATAGAACACATTAAAAGGTTTTTAATGCAATGACATTGTAGATTCAAACTATAGATTTTTCTTATATCTGATTTCCACTATGTTTTTTTAGTTCTGGACAGTGATATGTCCAGTCCAGTGACAGGTCCAGCAGAACCTGTGTACGTTGAAGAAAAAATGTATCCTTCATTATGAATAAACAAAATCTGCAATATAAATTGGTTTAAAAAGATTTTTTCTAAGTTGCAATATCAAAATATCAACGAGAGAATTCTCCTTAACACATTCAAGACCAGAAGCCAGCGTGGAGACAGCGAGAGAGGTGAGTCTTTTTATATATATATCTAATGTTATCATCTTCATTTCGAACATTTAACAGCATTTCATTTCTTACCCCATGCATATGCATAGAATTATGTTTATTAAAAAGATTTAAGCATTTTGTAAATTCTCTGCAGTTCCGCCCTTTTGACATTTCTCGTGTAGTCTTCTTGCATGGGTATCCTTTTCCATTATTTGAATTTTATAACCATTAAACTTATTAGGAGCATTAGCTTTCAGATTGACTATCATTACGTTAGGTACTTTTTGGGGAAACTCTGAAATAATTGCGTGGTAGTATTTGGCAAGAACTAAAAGTATGCTGTATTTAATGCTTACCTGCCAAACAATAGGTTTATATTTTCCAATTAATGGGAAATTTATTAAATATTCTTTCTGAGAATCGTTAAGCTGATTTAACTCATATTTGACTGGAAGATTCCGGGTAAGGTACTATTTCAATGATTTAGTGCCCATTGGTAACCAATATGGCCTGCAGAGGGGATTAAGTTTAAAACGAGATAGTATATTCTTGCTAATATATACTTATTTTTAGAACCAATTACCACCCTAAGAACAGTTTCACCATAATTAAATGTTTTTTGTGAGCTTGTCACCGAATACTGTTAATGTGAAGTTGATTTGCCTAAAAGTATTGCCACTATAAATAAACTTAGTTTTTCATTATACATTATTTTACAGCTAAGGGAATTTCGTTTACAGAGACAACTTCAAACATGCGGTGTATATACATATACAGCAGGAAAAAAACTGGAGAACTTTGTAACATTGGAAGCTTAAGATTATTCGATTCCAAAGGGTGGTTAATGGTTAAACGTCAAGCGGGTTACCTTCCAACCATATTCAAGTAGAGAACATGTTAATGTGATATGTACATGCATCTTGCTTTGTACTAAATTCACACGTTTAGATGGATTTCGTATGTGCCATCTAACTAGGTAACAGTCCATAGGATATATATCGTTCGTGAACTGAATTTTTGACGGGGAAGCAGAAAATACCAGTTTGATGTCATAGATACTGACCTATTGTTATTACTTTAAAGCCAATTGCAAAATCCATGTGGTACTGTTGATCCCTTAGTTGCTACTTGATCAAATTACACTGCTTGTACACGAATCTTTTTGTTAAAAAAATGTGCATAGACTTTTATTATCAAATCCGATTAAAAAATACCAACACCACAAGAAAGTTCTATTCGAAGTTCTTGTCAAAACTTTAATGCAACAATGGCAATCAATATTGTTCTAATTTGAGATGGGGCTCCGCTTTATAATGTACTATAAATACAAGAGAATAATAACACATACGCTATCGTCATTGCAGGCACAGGCAGGTCTTTCATATTTTAATACACTATAGGTACTGAATGAAACACTTAATCAAATGAACTTTCACTCTTAGCTAAACCTTTTTTGTTTGTTTTTGTAGTATTTATCTTTGGATGGTAACAGCTTGTCACTGGATGACTTGGTCAGACTTGGAAAAGGACATTACTTAATAAAGGTGACTTTTCATAATGATATTTACATCTAGATCATCGTAGATATAAGAAGATGTGGTATGAGTGCCAATGAGACAACTCTCCATCCAAGTCAAAATTTATAAAAGTAAACCATTATAGGTCACAGTACGGTCTTCAACACGGAGCCTTGGCTCACACCGAACAGTAAGCTATAAAGGGCCCCAAAAAATTACTAGTGTAAAACTATTCAAACGGGAAAACCAACGGTCTAATCTATATAAAAAACGAGAAACGAGAAACACTTATGAACCACATCAACAAACGACAACTACTGAACATCAGATTCCTGACTTAGGACAGGTGCAAACAAATGCAGCGGGTTTAAACGTTTTAATGGTACCAAACCTTCACCCTTTTTCTGAAACAATAGTGTAACATCACAACATAGAAAGACACACTATAAAATATCAACTGAAATAGCTTAACTCAATCAAAGGACATATTAACACCATTGAACATACACTGAACAAATAAATTTGACCTATGACACAATGTAAATACAAAATAAATAAACTAAGGGAAGAATAATAAAAGTAACATATTATATAGGTAAGAAATGTTAAACAATTAAAGAAAAACAATATGCTCGAACAAAAATACCATCCATTTGCAATAACTTTAAACACAGGTAAATGAAAATAATTTTGTTGTTAGGTATACGTGTACAGTACCAATAGAGAAAGGAAATATTTTTACAAAATAAATAATTTAGAATACAAAATAAATAAACTAAGGGAAGAATAATAAAAGTAACATGTTATATAGGTAAGAAATGTTAAACAATAAAAGAAAAACAATATGATCGAACAAAAATACCATCCATATGCAATAACTTTAAACACAGGTAAATGAAAATAATTTTGTTGTTAGGTATACGTGTACAGTACCAATAGAGAAAGGAAATACTTTTACAAAATAAATATTTTTTGATGTTCATAGTACGAAGTAAAAATTTATAGTTATACCAAACACTTATCAAAGCTGGTATATAGACCAGATATAACCCTGAATAACATTAAATAACAAAAAAGCAATACAATTAGTATCAACAGGTCAAATAAACAAGAAAGTACGATTTGAGAGTACTCGCAGTTACTGACAGCTAGTTAAAAGCCAAAACAGTTAATAATAAAAAATCATGCATCAGAGACTAAAATCAACTAAAACACATCCCAGGGATTTAGTATTTTAACGTCATGGACAGTCAAAGAAGACATGACTAGTACAATGCCAAAAATAAATGTATCGACAGACAGTAGGATAGTTAGGAGTTTAACCTCTTTATAGATCTAAACGAACGTGGGTGTGTCTTTATACATCCCACTTGAAAAAAATACAAATTTAGTTATGTTTTAATTTGCTGATGACAAAATCGAAATTAGTGCCAATGTAAACTATATTCAAAGATCTAATTACAACATTGGTAAGATAACCTTTACTAATGAGCCTGTTTAAAGGTTCGATGAGTTTACACGGATCACATAGTGATTTCCACGCTTTAAGTACAATATTACCGTAAAATTTAGGATGTGAAATACCGTTTTTAATCAGTTTTCTACAAGTACAGCCAAATTTACTAATCAAATCTTTGTATCTATGAAAGAACTTCGTAAAAGTTTTACGTAATTTATGGTAACGAAATCCTTGATTTAATAATTTACCAGTGATGCATTGATTACGTTCGTTAAAATCTATGACATCACTATACACACGGGCATAACGAACGAGTTGGGATATATATACACCGTATGATGGAGCCAAAGGAACATCGCCGTCTAAAAAAGGAAATTTAACAATAGGGAATGAAAAATCGTCTCTTTTGTCGTAAATTTTCGTATGGAGTTTTCCTTTAGAGATTGAAATGTCCAAATCCAGAAAAGGACAACTACTGCTGTTTATGTTAGATTTAGTTAAAGTAAGTTCTATTGGGTAAATTTCGGTAGTATATTTAGAGAATTCTGGATTATTTAACGAAAAAATATCATCTAGATAACGGAAGGTATTGTTGAATGTATCAACCAAATGTAACAATGACGTGTCTTTACTGAGTTTGGTCATAAACTGAGATTCATAGCAATACAGGAATAAATCTGCTATTAAAGGGGCGCAGTTAGTGCCCATAGGAATACCTACTACCTGTCGATACATTCTATCGCCGAAACGTACATATACGAGAAAATTTAAAGCTTCAATCATATCTTCACATTTCCAGTAAGTGTATCTAGCATACTTTCCTTTTTCGTTACAGAAAAAGGCTTTAAACGAGTTACAGCAAATAAATTTGTAATGAGATTTTTCAAAAGACCATTTAATTAAATATGAAAACTTTTCCTTGATAAGATTGTGTGGAAGTGTAGTATAGAGAGTAGAAAAATCATAACTGTCAACAGAATTAAAAGGACCACCAAAAGCATATATTTTATCTAAAACCTCTAAAGAATTTTTAACACTCCAAAAAAAATTAATACCATTATTTACATGTGCTTGTTTTGATTTCTAGAATTAATGACCAGAAACACAATATTCGTTCAATATCGGTTATATCGGTAATATCGGTAATATCGGTAATATCGGTAATATACAAGATATTGATATATGACTGAATTTTTAATTAGTTTTCTAGTAGTATGTATTCTAATTTAAGCAGTGTAGTCAGTATGGTGACCAGTTTTGCATACACGCAATATATGGCATATAGGGCTCATTTTAACCCTGTTTTAACATGTAATTGTAGATGACAGTTGATGCAGAACAGAAAGTTCAGAAAGCCAGAGATCTCTTAGAAGATATTGTGGATAAAAACAAACGTAAGATTATTTTTAATTATTAATTATTTCATTAATTTTTGATTAATTGATGAATTGACGTTTGCTTAACGACCAGTGGCAAATATATCATGTTCCTTCAGGACAATAACAAATTGACCTAATTGATAGGTTCTTAAAAGTCGGTCAACCGAAATGAAAAACGTTCTGTAGTGTGCAGAGAGCATGAAATCAATTTAACGTCCCAATTCCAATTGGACGTTACTGCGTATTTATACATCCCGCAGATCCAAACGAACACCCCTCTTTAGTGTGGGTTTGTATTGCCGGATCTGAGAAGACCAGGTGGCCATTCACCCATTAGAGTAATTAAATTTCGACCAAATCTAGAAAACTCGGGATATCAATGGAAAATGGATACTTTTGATATTTACTGTTCGTTGCTATTTGGCGTTTTGACTACGTTATTTAGATATAAGAAGATGTGGTATGAGTGCCAATGAGACAACTCTCCATCCAAGTCAAAATTTATAAAAGTAAACCATTATAGGTCACAGTACGGTCTTCAACACGGAGCCTTGGCTCACACCGAACAGCAAGCTATAAAGGGCCCCAAAAAATTACTAGTGTAAAACCATTCAAACGGGAAAACCAACGGTCTAATCTATATAAAAAACGAGAAACGAGAAACACTTATGAACCACATCAACAAACGACAACTACTGAACATCAGATTCCTGTTGTTTGTCTGTTTGTCTGTTTGTCTGTTTGTCTCCGACTTATGGTTTATGATTGACTCCTTGGTGTCTTCTGCCTGCCTATTTTTACATTTTGCTGTGCTTTTACAAAAAATGATTCAAGTTAGGATTAAGGCTGTGTGCCTCAGTCATTTTAAAATGAGATAAAGATAGAAGGTCTGGTATTCTACTAGAAACACTAATTAATAAAAACACTCCATTGCTACGACAACTCATTTGTTTTTATATATAATGTACTTTTGTTTCAGTTGTATATGGAATCACAACAGGATTCGGCAAGTTCGCCCGGGTTAATGTAGAGAAAGATAAGTTAAAGTAAGATATTACTAAGTTCATCAGGGTTGATTAGAGAAAAATAGAAGTTAATGTAAGATGTTGCTAAGTTCGACAGGTTAATGTTGAGAAAGATAAGTTACTAGTAATGTAAAATATTACTAAGCTTGCCAGTGTTAAAGTAGTGGAAGGCAAGTCGATAAGATATTAATAAGTTCGACATGGTTCAGAAGGGAAAGATAAATTATTGCCGTAAGATAATACTAAGTTGGTCAGGATTAAGGGGTGTAACACCACTTATTCGGGCCCGTTCAGAAGGATCACATCGGAAAGTAGGTGTAAATAGTTCCTATACGCATAGGTACAATGTATAACTTTGAAAGCATGTATAATATTTTGGTTATTTTGGTAACAAATAAAAGCCGAAACACTGGTGATCTTTGTAGAACAATTTTTGAGTGATAATTTTGAAAAGAAAAAAAAAATTGCATGAAATTTGAAAAGCCTGGTATATTTTGCCTATATCTTAGAACTGAAGTGCCTGTTTTGTTATTTCCTAAGTTCCAGGATTTAATTAAAGGTATGTTGATTTTTTCAGCACATGACAATGCTGTATAGAAAAATGTTCAACTTTCATCAAAACTGTCTCCAAAACTTATGCATAGCGTTGAATTACGATTTTATTCATTTATAAGAATGTTTAAATTATATCATTCAGAATCCCTTTAAATTCTAAAAGATTGTATTTACTTTTGGTGAATTAACTTAAATTCGCGTATCAATTCTGTTTGTTTTTAGGTTTTTTTTTGTATCATTACCTCTTTTGTGGATATTCTTTTTGCGTATCTCCCCATTTAATTGCATGACAGTAAACATTTTACACTGCTACTTTTGTCTTTCATTTGCAGTGAGCTACAGGAAAACTTGATTAGATCGCATGCAGCAGGTAAGTCAGTTAAAAAAATACATATAACAAATTGTTGCTACAGATTTCCGCTCGCACAACACGTGTTTTTGGACTAACTTTCGTCATTTACGCTCGAAATCCAAAAATATAAAATGTAGTAATGCATCAGAGCCAAAAATAGCCAAAGTCACCCAAGACCAACTTTGCTCGAATGAGTCCCGACCAGTTTTAAAACAGTCGGTTCATAATTTTATGAAGTTCAAATAATGAAAATAATAACAATAACAGAAGATTTACATCAGCACCTGAATCAAATGATAAATAGTAAACAAAAACTGATCTGTTATTACAAAGTTACAAACACTGGATGTGCAAGAAGCTACTTAGTAAATTTGTCTTATTTGATATGTCTGTTTTTGTTTGCAGGAGTTGGACCACCGCTGTCGCCAGAGAGGACAAGGATGTTATTGGCCCTTAGGATTAATGTTTTAACCAAAGGATACAGTGGAATCTCGATGGCAAATCTTAAAAAATATATTAAGGCGTTTAATGGTAATATCTTTTTGCGGTCAAATTGTTATAATAAGAGGCTTACATGAGCAAATATAACCACTACAATGTAAATAGCGTTAAGTACGGTGACCTATAGTTAACTGCTATGTCATTTGGTCTCTGGTGTAGAGTTGTCTCATTGGCAATCATACCCTGACATCTTCTTTTTTTTATATTAAGTATTCACTAGAGTCTTGCACGAACAGCGAGAAATTGTCGTTCACCATATAGCTAATAGCTTTGTCTGACGTGTAATTACAACGAACTTTTCAGTAAATTATTTTCCAAACTGAGCGTACATTGTAAAACAAAGTTCTTTTAAACTTGAGACGAAACGAGTTAGTTGGTAAAATGATAGGTTGTTCTATGCTTCAAATCCCAAAATAACTTGTACGACGAGAATAAATTAAACTGCCAATTCAAAGATAAAAAGAGGTTCGACAAAGATGGGGGCTGGAAATTTTATTTGCCACTGGAAAAATCGAGAGTGTTGGTTAGTGGCATTAATTTTAACATGCAACATATAAAACTGGCATAAAAACCAATACTTTGTTACATCGCAAACTACCTTACGATATGTCTTTAAGGTCATTTAATGGTTCTTGAAAATTATTTTCTATCTACCTCCACATCCAATCCAGGAGATCGTCTTTATTTGTTGATCTGTATAGTACCGAGACAAAGTCAAGACATCAAAATCTGTATCTGTAAAATTTAGTTTTGCAATGATGCAGTAAATTTTGGGACATAATGTAAAAACTACATCTTATAGATCAATTTGTTGAATTATAACCTTTTCGGACTTTTGAGATTGCAGTATGTCACTAAGAAAACCAGATGCATAGGGATGGCAAGAACGCCATCTCCTGCTGGAAAATACAATTTTCGTGATTTTTTAAGGTTTATGGGTCGTACTTTCATGAAAAGTTTGTCATCCGTAACGAAACGCCAAAAAGTCTGTACAACTGCTGGATTTCGGAATGATGAAAAAACATGGATAACGGGCCTATATATATTTTGCGGCCACAGAGTGGAGGTGGCATAATGATAAACATGAAATATATCACCCTTGTTATAAACGTTTTTGAAAGGTTCTACTTAAAATTAATGCTAAAGTGTGACGAGAAAAGTATAGCACTTGCTTTGTAGACCAACAGAGGAGAACTTTTATTTGATTGCATCTTGACCTACATATATGGTATGTTGTTTTTCAATATAATTCATTGTTTTTAGGTATTTAAAAATATCCGACGATGGATAATATTATGTGTATTAGTATTTTTTAAAATTTTCTTTTACTGAATATTTGTTACATTTTTTAAACCTAGCATCCTGTTTACCGTGGATACCAGAAAAAGGAACAGTTGGTGCCAGTGGAGATTTGGCACCACTATCGCATCTAGCACTGGGAATGATGGGGGAGGGTAAAATGTGGAGTCCTAAAAGTGGATGGGCTGATGCAAAATATGTAAGTTCTCTTTTTGCCTAATAAATAGTGGAGATAAAAACTCTTGTTTCATTATTGTTACTACTTTAGATATCATATAAATATTGGTATCTGATGTTCTCTTGAGTCATCTGCTTTGTAAGAAATCACCTTATTTGCCTTATACAAACATTGCCACATGTTCTTTAGGTGAAAGATCGTTATTGTCATTTGTTTAACATATAATAAATGCGTATGTTATCATAGTTCTTCATGTAGGTGTAAAGGACACCATCCAGCATCTGCTCTCAGATAAGACCCGCTAAATGTTGGTAAAATTCCCACAAGACATTGTCCTTGTATATAGGACACGAAGAGGTCTTGTGCAGGTGATTGGACTCAATTTTAATGTCTGTTTTATTTATAGAACTTCGATGACATGGTAACTAACCTTTTAGTATATAGCCTTGATATCAGCTACCAAAAGGCAACTTTTAATATATACGGAAATTTTTTATAAGCAGTAGGTAAAAACACATAAATTATAAGGGAATTTGTGGTATACCTAAGTTAATAAGTCAATATGAATGACAAAATAGATTAGAAAGTTGAGAAAAAAAAACATATTGGTGCCAACAAACGATCTTTGACAACACCCAGTTGTCTATGCAGAATATATCTTTTTGAATGATAACTGATAGTTAAATTAACATCTAAAATTTTTTATATTTTATATTTTGATATATATATGTTAACACATACGTTTTTTTTCTTCATTACTCTCTTTTATAATTTATGTGTGATATATGCTTTGTCGATCTCCATACACTCATTATAACAGTGGTGCATGTTCCTTATAAGACCCTTTTTTCTGACAATAATCTATTCTATGTCTGACAATAATCTATTTTATGTCTGAAAATAATCTATTCTAGGTCTAAAATATAAGTTACTCTCTTATTATTGTTATTTATAATAATCATCAAAGTTAAACTAAAAGATAAAAATCCTAGAATTTGTTATGTCTAGCACGAGCCTTCACCAGGTTACGTCAGTTACTAACTTTTCAAATGTCAAGAACCACCAACTAACTCATAAATTATTATTTTTTGAAAATAACAACAAACAAATCAGAAGCCTGTAATTCAGTGATTGTCGTTTGTTGCTGTATATCCTATTTTTCGTTTATTGTTTTAAAAAACAATCTTTTTCATTTGAATTGTTTTACATTTGTTATTTCGGGGCCTTTGTATGGGTTCTGCTCATTGTTGAAGGCCGTCTTGTGACATATAGTTGTTAGCTTCTATGTCATATGGTCTCTGGTGGAGAGTGGTCTCATTGGCAATCATACACCGCATCTTCTTATTTTAATACAAAAAAAAAGAAGAAAAAAAAACAACAAAGATAAGCAAATGCCCTAGCAAATCTTCCCAAATCCGACATGTGTAAGTTTTTGCCTATAGAGATTGGATCCTTAGTTTTATTAAAGTTATGATTTCATAAACCGTAGATTTTAGATAGAAATGTACAAATTGTGTAAGTGCTGAATATTGACTACATGACTGATCATATATCCGGGTTCTACAAATAAACAGCAGTGGTATCAGCCCAGTGTCTTTAAAATGGTTTAATATCAGCTATGCTTAGATATGATTACATTCAAAACAGTATAACATAACTATTTGTAGGTTTTAGAGTTCAACAATTTAGAGCCAATAAAGCTTGGACCTAAAGAGGTAAAACCTTTATTTCATACTTATGCAGTTAGTCTATTAATTAGTCACGATAATTGAATCATTCTTTATAACTCAAATAGACAGAAAAATATACAAAAAAAGAAAACGATAAACTAACATAAATGAATTTCACGCTCCATTTTTATAGCGGATGACCTTGAGGGCACTCCGGTGTTATGTTGCCGCAGACATTTCTACCCACGTGACTTGCGTTTTTGACTGATAACCGAACGTATTTCGTATAAATACGCGGATATGATCGAGTGCAAAATAACATTCCTTATCGCCTGTTATAAATTCATTTCTTCAATGAATACTCATGAAAATATTTTTTAAGAACATAAATAAATAATATGAAAATGTTTTGTCGTGAGAAATATATATATATATATATAAGTAAAAAAATCATTAATATCTATGCACACGTACCGAAAAATTTTGCGGATGATTATCTCTTATCGCTTGTTATATATTAATTTCATCAATACATATTAGTTAGCGGGAGAAATATGAATGCCTACTCAAATCAAAACTATTAGAAAAATGAATTATTACAGAAGAGTGTCCACCATGCACTTGCACTGCACTATCATTAGAATAGTAGAATAAAATGATGGTATAAATGGATGAAAATTTGCCGGTAGAGTTATTAAGATGATCTTCTATATATATAACTCATTGTACAAATCTTAATAAAATATATAACAACAAACCAGATTATACTGATAACAAATGATTGTCCCATGATTATATCACTACAATATAATAATTATTACGGTGAGGTTGAGTTCTCTGTCATTTATTCATCATCCACACAGGAACTTGTCTCCGAAAAAAAAATCTATGTACCTAAACCTAACTTTCAGGTATAGAGATATTTTATTTTTTCTGAGACAAGTCCCTGTGACTATCCACCAGAACTTGCGGTCATCCGATGTTCAGTACTTCAGTACTTTAATTATAAATGCTAATATACAGCTATCCCTGTATAAGTTTTAAAACTATCCTGTTTTATCAAATGCATATTTTCCCTAGGGACTGGCTCTTATTAATGGAACTCAGCTGATAGCAGCCCTCGGGGCGGAAGGTAAGGAGACATTTAAGATGCGTTATTATTAAAAGCGTGCTTAAAGATTAGACGCTTGATTGATTGTTTCTTGTTTAACACCCAGTTACAATTATGTTATGCATATTCACTATTCTGGACCAGCAACTATTAACAATAGTTATATTCTGCAAGGTGAGATGGCAGAGAAGAAGGGCGGAAATTTGAATGCCACTGGAAAACAATGGTTTGGTGGATAGGGAAAGACATTTTTCCTTGCAACTGGCACCTTTGTACCAAAGATCAAATGAAATTTACTTGAAATGTTTGTAGATATACAGCAGAAATTCAGACTGATGAAACAATTTAATATACATATATCTGTAAAAAATTGAACTAGGTTATTCCAATATTTTCTCCAACACAGTTTCATTTAAAACGTATATTTGATATTTAGCTGTAGAACGTGCCGAGTCAATAGCAAGACAAGCTGATGTAGTAGCTGCCTTTACCTTAGATGTTCTGAAAGGGACCACCAGAGCTTTCGACAGTAGTAAGTATAGATTCAATATCATGCATCATTGCACGATTTTAGTTATACAAAAATCGTAGAAAATCGAATCCCCAAAAATGTACAACAACCAACAAACTCATGAAATTAAAAAAAAATGTCTTATAAACAGCAATCTGATTAAAATTCATATCTTGTGTTTATGCTTTGTTTACACAGAATATGTATTTCAATCAGATGAATAAACTGTCAATTATATAATGTTACTTCAAATATTTTAAGAGCAAATTATATGTTCTTTTTGCATGTTTAGTCAACATAAATTAGTAATTAATATTTTATTTTAGAATGTATATTTCATCCTATGTTTGATAATTCATTATACAGTGTATGTTTTATTAGTCCATATATAATATATAGACCTTACTATAGAACGAATCCTCATATTTTAAAGATATTCAGAGTATACGACCCCACAAAGGTCAGATAAATGTGGCCAGTAGATTGAGATCTCTATTGCATTCGGATACACATCCTTCAGAAATAGCAGGTAACATAAATTTTTAACTAATTACTTTTCATATAACTCGATATAGAATCAAGTTCAACTTGATATATTATTTAAAAGTTGTAAGCGTAGTGCATATCAATTGGGATATACTTCATTGTAAAAAGCTGTTGTTATTCTCGTTGTCTAGTGATTTCATTGATCAGTTAGGGGTATCTTCCTGGTGTGCTACTGCAGTGAATTATTGTTGGTTTTATATTGAGTAATAAGTAAACATATTTATTGATATATGTGCACTTAATTTCTTTCAAGGTTTTTTTTTCGAATTTAGACAATACAAGTTTAGAAATCTTCAGCTGAATACAAATTAATATCGATCAATTTTATTAAATACGTATTTCTTTGTTACTTTTACTTTGTAGAAAGTCATCGATTTTGTGATAGAGTACAAGATGCTTATACATTAAGGTGTTGTCCTCAGGTAAGAATACCTTCCCCGTTCAATACATATCATTGTAGTTCACATTTTTTGCAGCATTGCATTTTCTTTTTTTTATCTCCGCCTATGAAAGTATAGGAGAATATGTTTGACGGTCTGTTCAGCGTTCGTTCGTCCACCACGTATCGGGTTAACATTTTGGTTAAGGTAGCTTACCATGAATTTGCGGTAACATCAACCTGAAACACATTACAAAAAAGGGGCAACGATGAGTTTGTTTGTACCTATTAGCAGGTTTTCAGCCAATCAGATAAAAATATAGATCCTGTGTCAACCCTTCGCTAACAAGTATCTAACATCACTCCTTTATACTGTTCTGGTAATGATCAAATCAACCAAAGAAATGCCTCAAAATGTTTGAAGGTGTGTATCATTACAACAAAACCAGAGTATCCTGAAAGGTCTTTAAAAACAATTATAATGTAGTAGGAAGGCTGGAGCGTTGTCAGATCCTAATAAGCGAAGCGTTGATACATAATCTGTATTTTCATCGGATTGGTGCTCTGATTTTTGTTAGTGTAAAATATCAGCTGCAAGTTACACTATTAAGCTTCTGGTGGAGTGAGGGGAGCCAACGAGTCAAACGCTTCATGTGTCAAGCAACTGATATTTTACATTGTCAATATGATGAAAATCTGACAATCAATTAATCGGATTGAATTTACGTGTATTTCATTATAGAAACAATAGTTTTCTTCTTTTTTTTATCAGCTAATCAGAAGTCGACTTGAGAAATTTGGGTCAAACTTATCAACATCGGGTCAAACATTATGACGCCGGTTATAAGTCCGTGTCACAGTTTTAAGGCTGGGTCAAGCATACTGTCGTCACAAAGCCGTGATTTGCAATTTTTTTAATGATACAAAAACAGGGAAGACCGATTATAATACCACAAAAAAAAATCTGATATTTTTAAAACCTTATTCTCTAGATTTTTTATTCGAATGACAAGGTGATATTTTGTAGGTCCATGGTATTGTTAATGACACAATAGATTTTGTGAATGACACGGGGATATTTTGTAGGTCCATGGAATTGTTAATAACACTATAGATTTTGTGAATGACAAGGGGATATTTTGTAGGTCCATGGTATTGTAAATGACACAATAGATTTTGTGAATGATCGACATGACGATATTTTGTAGGTCCATGGAATTGTTAATGACACTATAGATTTTGTGAATGACAAGGGGATATTTTGTAGGTCCATGGTATTGTAAATGACACAATAGATTTTGTGAATGACATGGGGATATTTTGTAGGTCCATGGAATTGTTAATGACACTATAGATTTTGTGAAAGGAATTTTAACCACAGAAGTTAATAGTGCAACAGATAACCCTGTATCCTTTTTACATTGACATATATACAATATACTGGTAAATATACCAATGTATCATAATGTAAGTACCTTTTCTTGGCCTTTATCTTTTAAATTTTAGTGATCATGAGTATGAAGCACGCTTGTTCAGGTATGCATTTAATATAATATGTGTATATAGCTTAATAATTCGGAAATGATTTGCATATCTACAAATATATGAATGTGATTGGTCCGTTAGAATTATTTCCCCCTTGATTTACACTTTGATAGTCCATGTTGCCGAATCTACTTTAGTAACCCATGTAATCACTATATAAATAAAAAGATGTGGTATCAGTGCCAATGAGACAACTCTCCATCCAAGTCACAATGTATAAAAAGTTAACAATTATTGGGCAATGTACGGCCTTCAACACGGAGCCCTTGCTCACACCGAACAGCAAGATATAAAGGGCCCCAAAATGACTAGTGTAAAACAATTCAAACAGGAAAACCAACGGTCTAATCTATATAAAAAACGAGAAACGAGAAACACCTATTAACCACACCAACAAACGACAACCACTGAATAACAGGCTCCTGACTTAGGACAGGTGCATAAAAATGCAGCGGGTATAAACGTTTTAACAGGCGCCAACCTTCACCCTAACCTGAGACAGTAGTGTAACATTACAACATAAAAAGACACACTATGTCTATTTCATTGTGATATATCCATGCACGATACGCATGACAGGAATCCTGTGGTACCAAGAAAGTTGAAATTGAAAGAAAAAAATAACAAATATTTTGGTTAAGAATTATAAGGATTTTCAGAGGGTTATTGATTTGAAGTTAAGCTGCTGTCTCGTACACTTTTCATTACATGTTTAGTTTGTGAGTTAATCGCTCCATAACCTCTAGAAAAAATGTTTAATCCTATATTCTTGATGATCCTCCAGCAACTTTCAAAACAACTTCTACTTATGATTATTCTATACCAAGTAGTTTAACTTCAAACAAGAATTAAGTTTATCCTTAACAAGTTCAAGATGGTATTTGCAGACAGGATGGAAATTATATCTGGAGGAAATTTCCATGGAGAATATCCGGCAAAGGTATAGTGGGAAATGATTTCAAACACAATTTGAGTATAACTGTTACATAGGCTGATTACCGGCATTTTGTTATATGTAGTACAACTAATTTTATACTGCTATACATTTTTTTTTGTTTTTCTTCCCGTTTATAGAGCGAGAAATTAAATCATTACATTTACTTACATGCTGACTATAAAGAATTTGGCTTAGTATGCTGTTTGGTATGTGGCTATTGGTATTTTGAAGGACTAAATTACTTTTTTCTAGAGAGGTTATCATATATGACTAAAAGGAGTAAAACACTGGGGTACACATCAATAAAACAAAAACTCAACGACAAAAAAAGACATCTTGAGGTAAACGTCTTCAACAAAAGACAAGTGTTTTTACATTTTGTCATGCTCATAATTGCTTCAAATTTACAGAGCCATCAAAGTTCTGCTTTCAATACCTAGCCCATAAAAAGTAATGAAAAATAGGATATAACAAAAGACAACCTTTGACGAAGTTATTTGTCTTTTTACAGGCATATGAATACCCGTATGTTTTATTAGATATTTGCAGTCCTCTTTCCTTTTCATCTCGATTTAAGGACTTTTCAATTTATATCTCAAATATAAAGATGTTATTATATAATCAATTATAAATAACAAAATATTGTTTATTTGATACTCTACGCTCACCCTTACAAAAATCTTATATTGTAATTGTAGTTAATACAAAAAAAGAAAAACGGCAGTCTGGAATGTCAATTTTTGTCTTTGGAACTTTTTAGAAATAAGAAAAAACGAATTTCCTTGACAAAATAACTCAATGGACTTATTTACCATGTACCATTTTTTCATGTAGGCCAAAGAATTGAGTACACAATTAACAAAAATGGCGAGTGTGTACATGCTGAAAAGACAACTATTTTCCTCATTACCACGTTTCGTATATGTTACTTTTCTGCTTTCCGACTTCTTTATTCTTGCTTTACAGGCTTTAGACTATTTAGCTATAGGTGTGCATGAATTAGCCAATATGAGCGAAAGAAGAATAGAAAGACTTGTCAATCCAGGTATAATTTTGTATTCACCAAGAACTCTCAAGCTAAAAGTGTCGAAAAATTAACAGACTAAAAAATGGCATATCTTATTAACAAAAAGAGGCCTACGGAAATAATGATCTATAATATAATAATTGGAAGTAAAACTAATGTTGACATAAACATACTATATTTTTGCTAAATACTAATGACAAAATATAATACTAAATGAGTGCACAGGGGCTTCTATGGAACATAAAATGACAACATAATGCCAGAAAAAAGAAATACTAATAGTTTCCTGATAGGAATCAGTTACTGTTAAGATATGACTAAAATGAAACAATAAATCCGAAAAATTATACCCACAAAATAACCTAAATAAAACAGCATTGGACAAATAAAAACATAACAAAATAATCAAAAAGAACAATAAAAACAAACAATAACGCACCACAACGTTTTCAGTGAAAATAAAATTGATCTAAGACAAAAACAAAATATGAGAAAAGGGCAAATGGAATAAGGCGTTGAACTTCATGTTTCCTGTCTTTTTCTTCACCTTTTACCTATAAGTTTCCCATATTTTGTTTATTAAAAGATACATTTTAACGTCCGTTTCTATGTATTCACACTACATATAAGAATTTTTGTAAATATTTATTTTCAATATTCTGATTAGCTTACAGTGAGCTTCCAGCTTTCCTTACACCTGAAGGAGGTCTCAATTCCGGATTTATGATTGCACATTGCACTGCAGCTGCTTTAGGTAATACTATACTGCTACATGAAAGGTAATGACAGAGTACTTTAAAAACTCAGTCACAGCAACATTAGGATTTTCATGCAGTGTAAAATCACCTTATTGTTGCACAAAAGGAAAATGGAATTATTAGCATTTAGATACAAAAACGAATGAATATATTGCTACTGTTCCAGTAAACCGCTTGTTGGCTGGTTTCTTCTGAGTTATATTAAGTGCTCCTTTTTTTAGAATGACGACAGATATTACTAATAACTGACTATTTTAAGTCTTGGCAGTATCATTTGATTAAATATTTCCGCCTGACAAGTTTATTTAAGTCTTAAATTGACAAGATGTTAGGAATGAGAAATATCATGTAATCAAATAATCTCGTACGACATGATTTATTCTTGTCCGAAATGACCGTTAATCGTTTTCGAACGATTACTAGATTTTGTAGTCTTGCATTCCATTTTACGTTTAATCGGATTGAAAGGAGAACGTTTGATAAGGCCACTTATTGGCCCCTTGAATTCGAAAAACAAAAAGCCTGATTAATCTACCAAATAATATCCTTAATATTTTTGGCAAAACTACAGAACTCCCAAAATAGCCTAATTTGAGATCTTGTCATCGATATTTAGATATATGCCAAGACTTTATCACTAAATATTATGCTTAAAGATGCAGTTTACAATTTTTTTAGTTTGTGTAAAATTTATTTTTGGGAAAGTCATGTGATCATATCTATTTGTTCAAAAAACAATGTGTAAAATGGCCACTTAAGGTCAAATATGTCAAATCTGTCAATTTCAATATCAATATGTTTATATGGCGTCCATTCGCTGAACCAGTATAAATTAATGTTTAGGGACCAGCTGAAGCCCATCTTGGGGTGAGGGAATTCTCTTGCTGCATTGAAGACCCATTGGTGACTTGGGGCTGTTTTTTACTCTTTTGTCAGGTTGTTGACTCTTTGACACATTCCCCGTTTCCATTGTCTATTCTATTATGACATTATAATGACATCAAGAGTGACCTTTCTGCAATAAAGTGTCTATATTATATCAATCTGTTCATTTATCAAATAAATTAACTCAATTTTCAAAGACTTGAATACTATCACAATGTTTTGTAATATTAGAGACCAAACAACGGCTCTTATCATCCTTTGTTCTAAAGTCGCGATAAAAGGAGCGTGCATAATGGTTTGCACATAACTTTAACACTGTCAATATAATTTAGGTCAATAACAACTATGTAATAAGAAATTGATAACAAAATCATCAATGAGAATGACTGACCCATATCTTCTTCTGTATACTTTCTGGATGGGCGGCTGCTGCTGACAACATATTATGTAATCAAGGGTTTCATCACAATCATGTCCTAACGAATTTGTTCTGCTGGTCTATAACTTGACCGACATTGTTTTCTGGACTTGATACTTTGTACACTTTTCACTTTTGTCTTACCAGAGTAATGATACTTTTAATATTCGAGAAATCAGCATTTTTGCACATGTCTCACTTATTCAAGTATGCCTTCAGCGACCATCTTTCAACTTAACCATCTCCAAAATGAATAAGGATGGTAGTTCGAGGCTCTGTATACTCTTTGACGACTGTATTATGTCCTTCAAGAGTTCTGGGACTTAAACCTTCGAAAAATTGGCAATTTTAAAATGTCGCACTATAATTCATGAATTTCTTGAGTGAAATTCAATCTCATACAATATGGTCTTTATACTTTTTTTTAATGAATTTCACCTTTATCTTTCCAGAGTTATGGGACTTAAATTTTTACAAAAATAGTATTTATCCATTTGTCGCACACTTCCTCAAGTATCCCTTGAATGCCCAACTCTGAACTGTATAAAATTATAAAGGATGGAGGTATGAAGGTCTGTTTACTTAATTTGACTATTTCCACTTTTGTCCTTCCAGGGTTATATATGAGTTTTATATTAGAAAAATAAGCTATATTTCAAATGTCAATATTCAAGTATGCCTTGAGTGATATAAATCGAACTCTACCAAATTATATAGAATGGTGATTGGAGGGGATGTACACGCTTTGACGACGTTTTACCTTTTGTTGTTCCAGAGTTATAGAATTTTTATCGCAAAAAAACTAGAGAATTTTAAGTGCTTTCATTAATCCTTATGACGGTTTTTTGTGTTCATTCAATAACCTGTATTAAATTTGCATTCAATGTTTACTCCTATCTATTTGTAGGTCAGGCATAGCATGCACTCCAGACGCAGCTGTTCTTTTATATTATGGATAATATTTAAAAAACCTTCAAATCGTTAAAAACTTTCGAATGTTTTTAATAGATTAAATATTTTTTTACATTCAAAAGATAATTGTGAATAAATATGTCACTACATCGACCATTATATAAATATCATTTAAAATGTTTGTTTTTAGTCAGTGAAAATAAAGTTTTGTGCCATCCTGCATCAGTAGATTCCTTGACAACAAGTGCTGGAACAGAAGATCACGTGTCCATGGGTGGATTTTCGGCAAGAAAGTGTTTACGAGTGGTAGAACATGTTGAACAGGGTAAGAATATCACAGGCTTATGTAGACCTTAATGTTTATGTTTTTTTCTGGATTTTTTCAATATCTGTTAGTCATTTGTTTCATTCATTAATTGATATTGGTTATTCAATGTTATTTTTCGAAGTTCGGTACACATCTGTTCAATCAGTAAACAAACTCAAAACCATAACAAATAGCTAGTTATCTTAAATTGTACTTACTTATATCTCCATTACACAAGTTTACATCATTAAATCGCGACGTGCACAGTCTATGGAAAGTGCGAATCGAGAAAATGTTTCTTATGTGGACTAGCGAGATTTTCTTTAATAAACGAGATACATTGAGGAAAAAGTCGCAGACAAATGTTTACATTTGTAAGAATAAAAGAAGATTTTTTGGTGCATGTGATTTGTAAATCGTAAATTGTTTAATTTTTTTCATGGTTCAAGTGAAAAAAAAGACAATGCCTTTTCATGATTACACTATGCAAAAAATGTATATTTTGCAAACTATATCTTGAGATAAATACAACTTTCTTTAAATCGTGCTTTTGAATTTTAGTTATTGCTATTGAACTGTTATCAGCTTGCCAAGCTATGGAATTTCTGCGTCCTTTGAAATCTACACCACCATTAGAAGAGGTCTATAAATTAGTAAGGAGTGTAGTAGGGTACGTATACAGACATTTAGAACTGGCCTCTGGAAGAGTTGCACAAATTACACAAGATGAGTTATCTTAACAAAACAATCAACAAACATGATTTGCGTACGGAAAATATTGTAACTATTACAACAAAGTTTCTAAAGGTAAACTTTAAGTCTCGAAAGTTGTATTGACGCCATCTTGATTTAATTGATATTTATTGAATATCTTGGTCACCGCACGATAAATATAAATTACCAATTCTTTAAATATATATTAGTGTTTCGACGATAGATTAAAACTGGCGAGGAAAGGTAACACCCTGCCACCGAAAGCTTTATTATTTGTAAAGCCTAGGTGGTCGAGTGGTCTAACGCGTCGGATACAGTGCAGGCGATTTGGTGTCACGATATCTCAGTAGCATGAGTTCGAATCCCGGCGAGGGAAGAAAAAAAATTTGCGAAAGCAAATTTACAGATTTAACATTATTGGGCTGATGTTTAGACGAATTGTATATACAGAATGTACACAGCCATGTTTCACCATCACTGCTGGTGATCCGATGGATAAATCTGTTGTATAGTTGTTATTGGTTCAGACGTACTTATTAATATAATTATTTCTGTGACTGTATCTTGCATTAATTTGGAGGATCCTTTACAATAGATATTTCAGCTGATCTGTAACAATTCCATCTTCATGCCTTATATATCATGTACTGTATTACGACGCTAGATTAAAACTGACGAGGAAAGGTAACACCCGGCCACCGAAAGCTTTATTATTTGGGAAGCCTAGGTGGTCGAGTGGTCTAGCGCGTCGGATACAGTGCAGGCGATTTGGTGTCATGATATCTCAGTAGCATCGAATCCCGGCGAGGGAAGAACAAAAAATTTGCGAAAGCAAATTTACAGATCTAACATTGTTGGGCTGATGTTTAGACGAGTTGTATATAATTATAATATATATATATAAGTACGTCTGAACCAGTGACAACTCTACGACAGATTTTATCCATATTACCAGTGATAGTGATACAAGGTTGAAAACACATTCTGTATACATAGTTCGTCTAAATAACAGCCCAACAATGTTAGATCTGTAAATTTGCGGAAGAATATGTTTTGTTCTTCCCTAGCCGGGATTCGAACTCATGCTACTAAGATATCGTGGCACCAAATCGCCTTGCAGTATGCCCGACGCGCTAGACCACTCTACCACCTAGGCTCGACAAAAATCAAGCTTTCGGTGGCCGGGTGTTACCTTTCCTCGTCAGATTTTTATCTAGCCTCGAAACACAGTACATGATATATAAGGCATGAAGATGGAATATTACAGGTCAGCTGAATTATCTATCGTAGAGGATCTTACAAATTAATGTAGGATGCAGTCACAGAAATAATTATATTACAAGTACGTCTGAACCAGTGACAACTCTACGACATATTTTATCCATCGGATCACCAGTGATGTTGGTACAAGGTTGAAACATAGTTCGTCTAAATAACAGTCCAACAATGTTAGATCTGTCAATTTGCGGAAGAAAATGTTTTGTTCTTCCCTAGCCGGGATTCGAACTCATGCTACTGAGATATCGTGGCACCAAATCGCCTTGCAGTATACCCGACGCGCTGGACCACTCGACCACCTAGGCTCGACAACAATCAAGCTTTCGGTGGCCGGGTGTTACCTTTCTCGTCAGTTCTTATGTAGCGTCGTAACACAGTACATGATATATAAGGCATGAAGATGGAATATTACAGATCGGCTGAATTATCTATAGTAGAGAATCTTACAAATTAAAGTAGGATGCAGTCACAGAAATAATTATATTATAAGTACGTCTGAACCAGTGACAACTCTACTACGACAGATTTTATCCATCGGATCACCAGTGATGGTGATACAAGGTTGAAAACACTTTCTGTATACATAATTCGTCTAAATAACAGTCCAACAATGTTAGATCTGTAAATTTGCGGAAGAAATTTTTTTGTTCTGCCCTTGCTGGGATTCGAACTCATGCTACTGAAATATCGTGGCACCAAATCGCCTTGCACTATGCCCGACGCGCTAGACCACTCGACCACCGAGGCTCTACAAAAATCAAGCTTTCGGTGGCCGGTTGTTACCTTTCCTCGTCAGTTTTGATCTAGCCTCGAAACACAGTACATGGAAAATGCCACTTATAAAAAGTACCAATTCGAAGAAATAACCTTTATTTTCCTACCACGCCTACATATTTTGTATGTTTTATATTTATATTTTTAGCAACATATGTATTCATTAGAAGTTATGATGTGCGAATCGTGTAACTCTATTTTCTTATTCAAATGTAAAATGCCACTTATATAAAGAACCAATTCAAAGAAATAACCTTAATTTTCCTAACACGGCAACATATTTTGCAAACAGAGGGAAATTAGCTTTAACCAGATTATAAAAGATTACAGTACAGCAATATATGAATAAAAGAATTTGTCATTATTGTAATACCTTTTTTTTCAGCCCATGGACTAGAGACAGATACATGGCACCGGATATAGAAGCTGCGACCAAACTCTTACAAGAGGAGAAGGTAGATATTACCAAATATTTGGCATTTTTCGAAATGAAAGGTTTATAACTGCTTCATCTGCTTCACCCTGTCGACGCACTGGGTCTTGCATCTTTTGGAGTTCATTATATTCCCTCAGTATTTGTTTGTTTACTTGATTATTATCTTCTTAATTGATTTATGAGATTTGAACATGGGTAAACTACTGTTGCCATAATTTTTTACCATAATGGCAGCAAATAGGCAATGGTATTAGAAATAAGATGATGTCACAGTTTAAATGTTTTAACGTCCGAAAGTTATTTGTCCAAGTGACTATCTTTTAAAAACTTAAAATATAAAATTTGCCCGAATATTTTGTTATAATGAAAAAAACAAACATTAAGCAGTATATCTACTATATTAATTTTCTATACCAACATAAAATTATTGTTTCTTGTAGGTCTGGTATAAAGTAAAGCCTTTTATAGACAACTATCATTCACAACAACATGTCGAGACTCGTGTATTTTCCCCTACTTCCATTGGTCGCCCAGAAGGACCAGCCCCAAAGAGAAGGAAGACAACTAGTTTATCACGCCGGAACTGAACTGGTCATAAAAGCGGATGTCTTTGTTAAAATTAGTATTTTTAATACACATAAGTCTTATAATTTGACACCTGTGTTATTAATTTTGTTATTACATGTAAATAAAGTTGGGAATTAGATATATAACCGTGAAACTGAGTTTTGTCATTATCAAGCTTTCAACAACTAGTTTATCACGCCGGAACTGAACTGTTTAGAAAAGCAGATGTCTTTGTTAAAATTAGCTTTTTTAATACAATTTACACAAAATTATATAACCGTGAAACTGAGTTTGTCATTATCAAGCTTTTATTGCAACAATATAATTTAATTAACTAATTATATACTTTCCAAAACTTATTGTCCAAATACTTCAGCAGCAAAACCCTTTTATTGTAATAACAACCCTTAAAGGGGCATTAGCTACGACTTAGAAAAAAAAATACGATTCTTTTCGTTTCAAGTATTAATAAAAGCGGAATTTTGAAATAATGTTCCGTTATAAGCAATCAGTTTGGCCGAAATTTGTCAACATGAGCTCAAAAACATCGCTGATGCATTATTGACTTGCAAGTAAATAATTCAACCTTAGTTGAACCCGTATTCATGTTACCTTCAATTTAACCCCTTAGCTGGAGATGGATAATGCATGTACTAGGCGTGCTTAGCTATTAAAGGGAAAGAAATGTGAAAAGTGAAAGTAAAACAAGGGTGGACCATTTCGTTGACTTGATTCGAATCACAAAAACTCATTCTTATACATGTTCAAACGACGAACATCCCAAAAACAGTGATCGACCTTCGGTGTTCCGTAAGCGTTAGTTGATCCTATTCAATATGTTGCGCCCGTAATGATGCTCATCTTTAGTACAAATCCGGTGATAAGTCTCGTTCGATGACGTCACAGAAAAAGAGGACGAGGTTACGACAATAGGACAAGAGCTAGGGTATTTTAAAATAAGCGAGCAATAGCTCAAACTTCAACTTATTTTTTAATGATATAATTATAACAAAATAACAAAAACAAACATTTTCTATAGACATGATATAAGAATACATTTTTGTAAGTAAATAAACAGAAATGAAAAATTACAGGTAATTCAATGTCTTCCTCTAGTATATTATCAGTGGTACTATCAACAACCAAGACCCCAAGTGATCGTATTTAAAACACAAGTTGCCATTTCTTCCAAGTTAAATACTACAGTAATTTAGCGAATTTAGGTACCAACATTAAGCAGCCTCGCTATTTCTATAAGAAACAGAATACCTGTACATAGGCAAACGTTTGCATGCTATGTAACGCACAACATACTCGGTTAGGCATAACACTATATAGTTAATTATTAAATAACCACCCTGACTTTTTCCGAAAAAATGGAAATGATACTATTAATTGTACGTTTGAAGCGCTTTTCTGTATTTAGCTGTATATATACGTTGACGAGTTATATAACAAAACGGGACCTACAAAGAATAACAAAGAAGCATCCAAGATCAACTTTGCATGAGAGTCTTGAACCGTAGTTTCTACAAATTCCTTTATTTTTAGAAAAAAAAATCAATAAATGTTTTGCCCTGCCTCTCCTACAATTTGGTATGTTATAAAGTATACTCTTCTGATAATGTATTTTCAAATTCTTGATATTTTACTGCATCTTCTAGATTACATTCATTTCTATTCATACACACAATAATGCTGAAAATTCTCGTTTTCATCATATATTTGTATCAGAAGCAACACAACCATGCATATATTTATATATATAAAAATATTCTCTATTTTTTCTGCTTGATACATTCTCTATTGATTTAAAAAAAAATATCCAAAATTCATAATGAAGAGAAAAATTAACAAAAGGTCTATCATAACCCATTAGTTGAAGAAAAACACAGAAAACAACATGGTCAAAAGAGAACAAACGAACATACAAACAACAGCCACTAAGAAAAACACAGAAAACAACATGGTCAAAAGAGAACAAACGAACATACAAACAACAGCCACTAACACACAACACAGAAAACTGAAGATTTAGCAAAACAAACCCAAGAAAAAACCGTAGACGAACTTTCTGCCACGGAAGGGTAAGCTAGTTCCTGATTAACTTGTGGTCCTCAGCGACACCGCTATTTATATAACGCTCTACGAAAATCATGATTTGAACTGTACCTTTAAGTATTGTTGGTTCAATTGCAACAGCACTCTGATATATACTCCACAAGCAAGTGCTGCAGGAATATTTGAATATTGTTAAATAGAAAAGGAAAGTGGTAAAATTGAAAACATCTACAATTGGGCCTATTTTTAAACAGACACTCACAGTCAATTTCTAGATGTATTTTTAGATAAGTAAAGATATGAAGCAAACCCAAATATATTTGTAGTATCCTTTATTTCAAGTTCAATGCGATGAATACAATTAACATAAAAGAAGTCATTAAACTTTGAACGACTAAGTGAGAGGACACCAAACGAGAATTAAATGGTTTAACAGATTATATTCATTCTTATTGAGAAGACCTAATATGAAGGCTACCACATTCGAATAAAGGAACTCATTATTTGAAAAAGAAAAAAAAAGGAGGAATATTAATAGAAAAAAGATATACTAGAAAAGGGAGAAGATAATGGGACAATCATAAACCATGATAAGTCGAAGAAGGAAAAAACGCACAAAAACACAAACGCAAACCATCATGGCCACAGGAAAGACATGAGAGAAAACCAACATTCCACAAAACACCAGAATGCTAATTGTTGAACAATAATTATCTATAAAAACAAACAAAACATAAAAAAAGTTATGCTAAGTAACCCGAAAAAATGTTCCAATTCAATTTGGTAACAAGTAATATCTATTATAATTAAATAATGATATAATGACAATAAAGAAAAATATAAAATCCCCTCGCTCCACTTTAAAAAATGGATGTTTAAAAATAATTAAGAATTGAAAGCTATTTTTTGTTAATTTCGCAGAGTGTCGGAGTAGCGTTCATAAAAATAAATGTGCGTTCAGTTAAAGATTTTAAAACAATATGAAGCTATATTCAATAACATGTATAGCAAAAATATGATATTAAATAACATATATGCAAAGTTGTTTTAAAAAATACAAAGACAACATATAAATGTATAACAAAATAAAATATTCTATATTCACAGAGGGGATACTGGCGTATCACAATAAAAAACTATAACAAATTAAATAGTAATTGTCTTAGAAATAACATGATATCGTTCAAATTCGATTGTACAAATACAATTATGCAATGAAACCCTCAACTGACATTTTCCATTTATTATTATTTATTTTAAATTGGTATTAAGAGATTTTAATAGTGGTACTAGATAAAGATTTTTCAAAATTTGATTATAGAGCCTACGTCGTGAAGGAATGTAATAGTTGCAAAAAAAACCCACTTTATACTGTAAACGCTGTTTGCTTCTAGCACAACATTGGTTTGTCCAAAGGACAAATGATTCTCAGTCACTAATTTACAAATCTATTTTACAATGTTTTATTTAGCATTTATTACTTCGATGAAATGTAAATGAAAAAAATAAGTATCAGTGGTTGATCACTGAATGATCAAATGTATGTGTATAGATCTGGAATAAAGTGAGGTAATGTAAAAGACAATTATCAACAACACCACCAAACAAACGAAACATAACGAAAACAAAAATATGCGTTTGTTGTATTAACACCTAAGTGTATTACTTCAGCGTGTTCAGAACACCGCTGCCAGGCTAGTAACCCGCAAAAAGAAGTTTGAACATATAACCCCAACACTTATGACTCTTCATTGGCTACCATTTAAATTCCGATGCCAGTATAAACTGTTGCTTTACGTATTCAAAGCCTTGCATGGACTTGCACCTGCGTATCTGAGTGAACTCATACATTTTTACAAACCAGCACGATCGTTGCGATCTGAAAATGCTGCTTTAATCAAGATGCCAAAAAATGCACGGACAAAAATGTATGGTGAACGGAGGTTTGATGTGGCGGCCGGGACTCTGTGGAATAGCCTTCCAACAAATCTTAGAAATGAACAATCGCTAGAACTATTCAAGAAAGGACTAAAGACGCATTTATTCAAAGTTGCATTTGTGGATCGCTTATAGTTAAGACCTGGAACCGTGATTGATTGTATTTGACTGATGTTGATTTGCTAAAGTAATATCTTACATTTTAGTCTGATTTGATGTGTTTCTGTATTTTGATATAACATTTTATTATAAGCCTATGTCTTTTAGTAACTTATTTTTAAATACAAAATAGTAGTAGCATTCACCAATTTTAGGAATATTTAATAGATAACAAGTATTGAAATTTTTACTTATTCATTAATAATTCTTTTATTTAATTTTTAACCAAGTTGATGAAGTTTTAGAGTCTTAACTTTTGATAGTTGATTTGATGTTGTATGCTTTTAAACATATTTTGGTTTATTTTTAACTTTGTAGTTTCGTGTTTGTACGAACTTGTGTATATTTGTTTTAACATGTAAAGCGCTTAGAGTAATTGTAGTATTATATAATGCGCTTTAAAAATGCCTTGTAATAATAATAATAATAATAATAATAATAATTACAGTGCGAACTAACCGATTTTATAAATTGTTTCTTATTCTAGAGTCAATTGATAATATCAAACTGCAAATTGTTTTTCTTCTAAAATGGTATATAAATCTAAAAACGCAATATCATAAAACCTAAGTTTTTTAACACTTCACAACTCTATAGAAAATATACCTTCTTTGACTAAAGCATTCACCTTATTCTTATGAACATATGAACATTCATTTTAAAAAACAGTTAATTCCATATTGAGTCTAAGAATAAAGACTATCCTGGACAAAAAGGAATAGTTCAACAGTGATTACTTACGATTTGAAAATTACTGGTACTAAAATCTATATTAATAAAATTGTTTAAGACATTTTTTTATCAAAGTTGAAATTAATTATTTGTCCCGAGAAAAAAATCCCATGCCCTCCCGAAATGTGAATGGTCTGTACTTAAAGAATGTATCACTGAAGATTTTTTTTTCATTTTCCAAACCTTTGAACATTTCTTGACTTGAAATCACTCATTTTTACCATTGATCAAATTTACACATAATATGTCATATCACAGGAATACAAGATTAAACATCTGTCACTAGCTTACTGTTGGCGGATATCCGCCGTTGTTATTACTCGGAGAAGAGCCTATTCCAGCTGCTGTCCTGTACACGACATCATATGCGGGAGGTGGACCCTTTGGTTGTATTGGCGGTTGGTTGTAGCAGTATTCATATGGTGGCGGATATCCCGGTAAAGCTGGACCTGCTATTGTTGATGGACCTATCGTACAAAACAAAAATATTTATAAAGATATGAAAACAATCACGGATATAATATATAAAACTTATAAATAAACAAAGGGAATACACAAAAATGTTTGACTAGTATAACTATTTGATGAAAATAAGACTGCTCCACTTGAAACAGACTGCGACTGTCTTCCATTTGTCGGTAAATCCAACTGTTTCCCTAACCCCAACCCTAACTCCCAATTCAAACCATATAGGCAATTAACCAACGATTTCCTGATTTTTGGAAAATAAAGTAGTGACAAATGCATCAGACTTGCTATGTACTTTGATATTGTTTCTTACCAATGGAAAGTAAAAAAATAGACAGGTAAAATGCTAAGTTTTTATAAAGTGTAAATTATTTAAGCCAGTACTGTTACTCCACACATTAACATACATTTTCAAGAGGTGAAAACTATTATCATCACTATCAAATTCATATTTAAAACTGCAAGAGTATTTAATTCATAATTAATTTCTTAATGAAAACTGTAATGTTTTGAAACAATGTAATGGAAAAATCCAATGCATACCTCGATTTATATTATTTACAAGAGGAACAGGTTGTCCATGTACAACCGGTCTTAAGAATTGCGCATGTGTGCGTTTCCTGTTTCGATGCTTTAAATAACAGTAAATAACAACAATGCCTGTTATAACAGCTACACAAACTACTATGCCAACAATTAGTCCTGTATGTGAACAGCAGTGATGGTCTCTGTATGAGCCACAGCAGCCACTACTACAGTAAATAGCTTCTCCTTCATCAATACACACATCACCAGCAATACATTCTGTAAAAATATCAACATAATCTTTGTTAAATTTTCATACAAATTTTATGCAATACATATGATCTGATTAAGACGATATTCTAGACATTTTGTCAGTTTTAATGGACTTCCTCTTTTTAAATTTGCCTTGAAGTTCAATATTTTTGTTATACTTTTTTTGGATATCCTATCATGATTTCCTTGATAGAGGGTCGCTGCTTAAAATGAAGCTAACAAAGCAAGGGTTTCAACTGGTGAAGTTGAAGTCATTCCTACAAAAAAATTTTGACGGACACAATCATGAGTTGGATGAACATTAGGTTATATCTGTCAAACAGATGACGGCATATATATTCAAATTTGTCGTACCCATAATTCCACCCTCTTTTCCACGTATGTGACATCACCAAATAAGACTTATTACTGAGTTAGCGTCGCTGATGAGTCTTATGAAGACGAAACGCGCGTCTGGCGTATTAGATTATCATCCTGGTACCAGTGATAACTATTGTACTTGCATGAGCAACACAACGGGTGCTACATGAGAATCAGAACCTGCTTACTCTTCCAATGCACACACCCCGGTTTTTAGTGGGGTTCATGTTGCTTTTGCTTTTCTATGTTGTGTTTTTTTTTATATATTTATGGTTGTTTTTCCTTTGGTCGTTTTTCATTCTTGGTTATGGGGTTGTCAGTTTGTCATCGACTTATGAGTTTGAATATACCTTTGGTATCTTCCGCCTCCCTTTATAAATGCATTTCGATTCCCTCGGCTATTTGATCCACATAGTATTTTCAGTTACAGGAATTTGCCGTTTTTATCACAGATTTGAAAAGTGGAAGAAAAAATCTTAAGACACAACATTTAACCCTATAACCAACCAATTCGATGGTGCAATGGTTTGGAACTTTAAAAACGAGTTTTTGTTTTATCATTGTGTTGCTTTGAATGTTTTGGAAGATTATTCGATTGAAATAAACATTGCTTGCTTGCTTTATTCATATATCTATGTAAAACATTAATTAATGAAACTGCTCAAATCAAAATTAATAGTATCTGTCATGATTTATGAAAAATATTTAGAAAATTTTACTTCTGTAATTGGAATACTTTGACTGGTTGTCTAAAAATACCCAGTTAGAAAAAAAAGCTGTTTAAATCGGACCGAATACGAAATATAAAAATAATATCAGGTCGAAATAATATTCATAAAAAATTAAATAAATTCATTCGGCTTATAAGAAGAGCAACATAAAAAAGTGATGCTGTGAGACGTTATGATGTCACATGATACCCCAAAGGCAAAACAGTTGCATAAAAGTATAACAAATTCCGAACTCCAAGGCAAGATATTTGCATGTCATTAGGCATCGTCCATTCATTTTATGTGTGAGTATGTTTTTCTCGCTCTTGCCCGAGACATAAAGGAACAAGAATTCATTTTTAAAACATCTTTTTTTTTAAAATATTTTCAATAGAAACAAACTAATGTATAATTTCACTCTACTTTTTCAATTCAAGAAATACGAATCAAACAATTGATTTAAAAAAAAATATATCCTCCCGCAAAGATGAATATTCGGTTTCGAAGAGAAATCGTACAAATCCTCTATCCAACAATTGTTTTTGCCAATTTAAATCAATATCCATCATATTTATTTCTGCTTTAAACATACGATAGCATAAGCATATATTGGATTTTTATCAATTATACTTATTCTATTTTTTCTCTTATTATACAATTGACTTTCTGAATGTTTAATGCAATAGATCGGGCTTATTTTAATCCGTTGTCATCAAGTACATAATGCATGACAATACATTTAAAGTAAGAAACAACAGTAGTTTAGTTGAGTATATTCACTCTAAATACATTTCAACCATATAAACAAAGAAAAAACTCGAGGTAACTCCAACGCTCATTTACAACAATTAAAGTGGATTTTTTTTCTTTTTTTTATTATCTCGGGGCTTATTCTCAACTAGTTGTTATTTGATTAGCTCCTAATCACTTGCCGTTTTCTTACCATTTAATCTGTTTATACTTATGTATAAAATTCAACCTATGCCAACATATTTTTTTAACACTTTATACCTTAATTTTAAAACGTTGACATGTATTAATTGAACCTTTTTATTCGACGTTTTGCATTTGCGCCTATATGTTTTTTTCCGATTCCGTCAAAATATTTGTGCCAATAAGATATATTATTCCATATTGAAAGAACTTTAGTCGGTTTTTCTAGATGAATGGGATTTTGAATAAATAAGCATATTCACCTGCGGAAAAAGTATATTCACCGCGCAAAACGTCGCGTGCTTTTACGTGTATAATAACGATACAATGTATGACGTTTAGTTGGTTTTGGTAAATAACTGTTATTTTAAACATATTTTTCTCTCTCGGAACATGGAATAAAACAATTACTGTCTTTTGTTTAGGTAAATATGTGGTTTAATTGACTTTTGAAAAACCTAGTGAAATTCACTTCGGCCGTTGGCCTCAGTGAATATCAGTTTTTCAAAAGTCAATAAAACCACACATTTACCGCATCAAAAGACAGTAATTGTATTATACATTTTTGCCAATTTACAGGTACCACAAGCGAGATGCAAATAACTAAAAGCAATCCAGACGCAGGTATTTATAAAGTGTTATTTTCATTTACTAGTACTAGGTCGACATAACTGTCAGTCCCCGAGGCTATCAACAGCTCAGTAGTCGATGATTCAGTACTGACATGATTTCAACATATTTTCTAAAATTCCCCGTCGATAAATTAAAAAATTCTTGAATGAAACTAAGGTTTCATCTCCCTCATACCAAGTTGACCTTAGATTAATTTGGCTATTTTTATGTCCCTTTTGCTCATATAGTTCATATCGTTTCTACGTATCTCTGACTTTCAAATGTTTAGGTTTGGCTGTTCTTTATGATGGAAAATCAAGAAAGCGCTTCGAACGCATGAAATTTATGAAGCGTTATGTTCATTTGTTGGATGTATTTACAGATAATATCTCTTCCGTCAGCTCTGTGTACCCTGCTAAGCAAGCGGAGGCTGATGCGAGAACTTGAGCAAGATAAATAAATAACAACTTTAATATCGAAAGGTAAAATACCACTTATTGTTTGTTTGTTTACGATTTTAAAGACAAGATATTAATATTTTAAAGAGTTTGCTTTGACAGAGTATTATAAGCACCACTGCAATGATATAAACGGTACAAATTTTACTGCAGCAGATCCGCATTTCGCAAATAAATGGCTCTTCAGTGATGCTCGAGGACAAACAATTTGAAAATCCAAAACTTACCAAAATATGGAAAAAAAGTAAAATAACAAAAATACGAAATTCTAAGGAAAATTCAAATCGGAAAGTCCCTTATCAAATAGCAAAATTAAAAGCTCAAACACATCAAACGAATGTGAAGAGCTTATAAACCAAAAGGACAAAAGTATAACCAAAGCCGGGCAAGGAATCATAGTTTTGCATGAGGGAGATATATTCCTTGATAAGACTACTAGTAATTTCCAAAATTTTGTAACAGTAAATTTTAATAACACAATATCCGTATTTTCTGCTAGTACCAAAGTACTGGTTACTGGGTTGGTGATACCCTTAGGGACTTACAGAGGTATTGACCCAGTGGTAGTAATAATATGAACGGTACCAATTTTTCTGCACCAGATGTGCATTTCGACAATAAAATTTTCTTTAATGATGCTCGATTTCAAATTATTTGAAAATCTAAAACTTATTAAAAATTTGAAGAGCCTTTATACCAAAAGGACAAAAAGTATAGCCAAAGTACTGTAAGTTACTGTACACGAGTATGTTCCCTTCATCTACCATAAATGTCATACTTTTAAGAACAAAGTCTATTAATTACAAAGGATGACCTTGAGAAAACTCGAAATAATGTTATCCACAAAAATTACGCACTTCTTTTTGATATCTTAAAACACGTTTACAACCAAAAAAAAAATGTAACCGTACGCTTGAAAAAAATTATCATAAAGTTTCACGGTGTCGAATTTGCAATGAAGCAAAGAACACAACATTGTAATAAATAAGTGATTGTACTTTTGCTAAAGTTTAACACGGAGTCGAATTTGCCATGAAGCAAAGAACACAACAGTGTAATAAATAAGTGATTGTACATTTGTTAATGTTTAAGTTACATAATATATATTGTTGAGAAAATATCTAATTATATAAGATAATGTAATTCATCATGCGGGCGGTTGAAGGTGAATACACGGCCATATTCATGTTACATTATCGGCCGATCATATAACACTTATTATAAGGGACTTGTGTTATTTTATAATGGATAACGCTAAACTCTCATATTGATTCATTATGGTTAACATCAATTTTTAAATCATATATAGATGCATTTATTGTGAACAAAAGATTTTAAATAGAATAATATTTTCATCACTTAATATTTTTTGTGTGCTTCCATTTAAAAAAAAAATCATTATAGCAAAAGCGGGTTTTATGAGTATTGCCCAGCCCACTGAGAAATACTTGGATTACACGGGTTCTAATGGGTTTTATTGGGTAATACTAGGCCTGAATTTTAAAGAGAATTCCGTGATTAATTACAAATGCAATACATAAATAAAAAAGATGTATATAAGACAAAGTATTCAAATTTATAACCTCACTTGTTTGAAACTCTTATTTTAAAGTGTTTAAATCTGAGTATAAGTCATACATGAAAGAAAATAAATTTCCTTTCTGTCAAAATTGGTCAAACTGTTGACATGTAGCCAACAAATTCACTTTTTTTTTATTTTTAAATATACATATATAGAAATAATATTAAGAATACGCAATTAATCATTTGTAAGGAAAATGACGTTGCAACAATTTTGTTTTCATTGCTAAAAATATTTACAAACTTTTAGCACACTAAGATGTACATAACTAATTAAGCAGCCATTATTCTAATGATAACGGTCAACCAAATCGTGACGGCGTCGTAAAATTTTGTCTTTAATTTCACCACTTGGAACTCTTTGTTTCATAGATTCCTTGTAATCAGCAATCCTCTTTCAAGGAATTCATGATCAGGAAATGCAAGCTCTGGAATATTTTATCAACTAAGAGATATATACACGATATCAAAAGTTGCCAATAACATTTGATATCGTTTAGATGATTCGTTCACTACACCATCAATTTTCCTTCTTGATTTCGTGTTTAAGTAATGAACACACAGTAAAGGACAGATTAAATGCTTTTAAACATGATTGCATGAAAGACAGAAATCTCCTTAACATTATTTTCTATTGTAAAGTTTCTTATTTTTCAAACTTCACCACCTTTTCCTTCTACCTTCCTCACTTTTTAACTCGACTCTCGTCTCTTTTTGCTATACGTTTGGTGATATTCCGAACATTCTGATCAGTTGTTTTCTGAATTGTGCGTCTGGCCATTGTTTCAAAAACTAACTAACTTTATAGTTAAATTACGTTTCATTTAATCAACTAAACGATGATATAGAGAGGTATGGTTTTGTCTGATCATAAGGAATTTCATATTTGTTAGAAAAATGTAATAATTTCAATTACCTTTTAATCCTAAAAACAGATATATCAGTCCAGAATATAATGTTTGAACACAAGTCATTTAGATTTTTTCATAAACCCTGAAAATTGTCCTCACAGTAGTATAAATCCATTTAATTTAAAATTAACAACGTTTTCCATTGAATGCCAGCATTACATTTTTAATGCCAACATTGATCCGGTAAAACAAACTGTGGAACTTTATAGCTAGAACAATTAAATTGTTCAATGTATTCAAGTGTAGAAGAATCGATGAACTTCATTATAAAATAAATATTACTGACAAAAGCCTCATTTATAAAATATCATACAATAGATATTTCGTGTAAGTCATTTGTCTATATCCAATAAAAAGTGAAAAAGAAATATAAAAGCAAGTGAATGAAGCGGACGAATGTAATACATTGTCTTATGCTTCACACACTGCATGACGCATTTCTTTAAAATGCAATGATTGAATTAAGCTGTGGTTAAGTCACTTTTTAGCCTGGTGATAATAATCGTCATACCGTAAATGGAGATTCGATACAACACAGAAGTGAGAGAAGCGATGGAGGACACGAGGGTACATATGGAAAAGAATGATGCTTGTCAAATGAAATATCAGCATTGAAAACTAGAGAGCAGAAACTCATCAAAGTTACGAAGCTTATTATTAAGTACGCCAGAGTTACGAAAAATTATGATGGAAGACACATACTAATAAATAAAAAAAAAAACAAAATAAAAACTTTAATAAATTTTGTCCGAAGCGATTTTACGGATTTAAGGCTTTGTAAACATGACATTTAGTATTTATTTCATTTACCCTCATCAGGAACTCTCAAATCCAAACATTTTAAAGCCAAGGATGTTTGACTACTTGATTACGTTAGGAGATTAGGACCAAAGGGGCATTACGAGAATAGCCAAAATAAATCAAAGGTCAACCATGCCTGAGGAAGTTGGACTCGTAGTTTCTCAATAATAATATCAAAATCGAAATATTAAAAAAAAATATATGTCTTTTTATGTTGTAATGTTACAATACTGTTTCAGGTTAGGGTGAAGATTGGCGCCTATTAAAACGTTTATACCCGCTGCATTTGTATGCACCTGTCCTACGTCAGGAGCCTGTTGTTCAGTGGTTGTCGTTTGTTGATGTGGTGCATAAGTGTTTCTCGTTTCTCGTTTTTTATAAAGATTAGACCGTTGGTTTTCCTGTTTGAATTGTTTTACACTAGTCATTTTGGGGCCCATTATTGCTTGCTGTTCGGTGTGAGCCAATGCTCCGTGTTGAAGGTCGTACTTTGACCTATAATGGTTTACTTTTTACACATTGTGACTTGGTTGGAGAGTTGTCTCATTGGCACTCTTACCACATCTTCTTATTTCTATGTAAGATAAAATGTCGTTTAATTTAATACTTAGGATATTTTTTAAAAGGAAGAAATATGCGTAATACTTTAGCAATATGATGTAAAGTAAGTACTTTTACAGCATAGTATGAATGAATGTCATTGAAAAAAAACTGATTTATCATGTTTTATAAAGGTGAAATTCATCATGATTCCCTCGAGCTCTAAATCATTGAAAAATACATAAAAAAGGATTATAGGAATCATAGTCAATAAATATCTGACAGTACAACAGATCACAACAACTACCAAAAACACGACTACTTCGAAAAATAGACACACAAGCAACAACAAAAGACACATGGTCAAGATAGCCCGACTTTGTACATGCACATAATGTGGGGGTTGAAACCATGCAGTGTTTATGTGTGCACATACATCTTTGCGTCTTTTAGACTATATGTCCTAAAAGTAATACACACAATTAAAAAGCAGCACAACCCAGCTACTAACAGAATGATCACTTACTTGAACAAGAAAATAAAAGACGGCACATGATTTGGAAAGCCATTCAAAATGTGATCGCTACTGCAGGAATCTAGCTAAGGTAGCCACATCTGTTGATGGAATACTGTCGCTGAAGAAAACAATAAAACATCAGACACAAAACTTCTAGTGGGTTTCGTGAAGTCTCATTATAAAATATAATTGATCGGCCGTGTTTGTTTGAGGCAAGTAAGCATTTAAAATCATCATACCATCTAGCCTAGTCAATTTAGCTCTAAAATCACCCAACCTGCAACTAATTGCAACACAAGGTTTTTTTGGTACAAATAAGAATATAGACTTGTACAAACATTAATATAATATGATGAAAAGGTTTTTTTGGGGAGAAATATGTGGTTTTTAGAGAAAAAATACTGAAAACTGGAAAAGAAGAAAAAGTTTTATTTATGGTTACATTTTTAGACTGATAGCTTGGTGAAGACCACTTTATCTTACTAGTGTATAATCGGAAAAAAAGTATCTTAACCAAGTCATCATTTTGAATTAGCAATACAATCTTTGTTTCAATTGCAAATGATTTTTGTTTTAAGTGCCTGACCTTTAAGATAAAGAAAACTATCATTAATATATTTAGAAAAAAAGCAAAAATTGACATCTTTGATCACCAGTCTTAAAAAAGATCCCAGAATCTAGTTTAAAAATTGGCAAATAGTCGATTGCGATTAATATTTCAGAAATACGACCCGTATTTACAGTTATCTTTACAAATAAAAGAGCGATATCATTAACACATGGAAAAACACTGAAAAATTAAAAAAATTCACGTAAAAGGGCATTAATTGTCAAATTCATGTTCACTGATTTGACCCAATTTCTCATATTTTCATTCTAAAACATATATTCAAATTAAAAAAAGTCCCAAAAGAAAAAAATTACAAGACATGGACCTGTTATAATGTACCAGCATTTCGTGCGTGTTTTAAACTAGACGTAATCTAATATTATTCGTCGAGATGACCTCCGTAGGCTGCCGACGGTCATATAACGCGATATGAATTATAAAACATATATACACATGCATGTGGCCAATATCGTCTGAAGCAATATAGCGAAAAATTAGGCAAAATTATGATTTTTAAATAAGAGTGTAAAATAAAGACGTTTTCATGGAATTTTAGGGCAAGTATTCACTCTTTGTGAACTTACGTCTTTCTTTTTTTTACGGTCCCCCCTTTTTTCTGTGTATTCCGAACTTTGATTTGGTCTGTGACGTTATTGTATTGTGACGTCACAAAACTGACAATACTAGAACCTTGTAAAAATGCAATACAAAAAATATAAAAATAAGGTTTGGTAATGACACTGTACTGCTGATACGAAATAATTATGTTTTTTTAATGTTCTATTCATCAGAACATTTAAATAATACAAATTTGGAAATTTAGCCAATTTTCTTTTGGCCATGGCACATTATTTTATAACCCCATTGGGTTCTTCTACCTTATTTTCTGTTGCAAAAAATACCGCTTTTAGAAATCCTAAAACCCAATTTTGAGTCTAATTTTCTAGAAATCACATAAATAAAAACGTAATGTGAAATTGTATCAACTTATGTTATTAAAAGTATGTTTTTGGGTACCATTGTTTTACTTCCCATGCTGTATATCTTTTTCAAAAATTCATGAACACATGGTAAATAAAATACCGAAACAATTAAAAAAAAAACCACTCAGTTCATTAAAAAAAAAGAGAGTATAACGTAAAATATTTTTTTTTAAAGCACAACAAATAAAGCCACGTCTTTTGGATGTACGTTTTACGGCAAAACAATTAATCATTCTATTAACAAAATAAAAGTGAAAGTTCGAATTAAATATAGCCATACTAAATTTGCTGATAATATCTCCTTCTATGAAACTTGTGGATTTTGCATAAAGAGATGATACTGTGGTTGTGTTTGTAATTACCATTCATTTCTCTTGTAGATACTTTAAAATGTCTGTTTTTACTGAAATTTAATGACGGATTTCCTTTCTTATTTTTATTTTATCAATTATATTCCATATTACTTTTGATCAAATAGGGATTTATCAATTTTATCCAAACAAGTTAGAATTTTCCTTTTTGTTTCATACCAATTTTGTTACAATGGAAGTTTTTATTTTTGATAATCTTACTTTCACTGCCATTTTTTTTATCCGAACCACAAGTTTTTATTCCACTTTGATTATTTTCTGAGGGAAGTCTTCAATGGCCAGCCCAATAATTGAAAAAATCATTGGTGCTTTGAGTATGAATAGGTTCTTTTTATTCACTTCATGATCAAAACTTAGAATTTGGACCATTTACTCAAATAATCTTCTATCATATAAACTTGTTAGACTTCTACAAAATGTTATTGAAGTCGGAGATTTTTATGAAACCTCTTTGAAAATACTATACATTGAATCAGCTTTACATATTTGTCAACTGCCGGCACGATATTACACGATATTACACACATTTGAAAGATGGTCGATGTATAAAGGGACAGCATTCGATGGATACAGGACTGGTATCCTTGAAACTATGCATAACTTTATGAGAAATAGAACATACATTACAAAGAGGCGGAGCTTGAATGATTGAAATTATCTGCAATGCATTTACATACTACCATTTACATAATCAAATAATACACTAATAATAATCTATTTCTTGTCGTAGCACAACCCAAAAACATAACCTTATTTGTTGTAGTGGTATTTAATTTTTTTTTAACTCAATCCACAACTGCCTGGGACATAAAACCATAACTTAGAAGTTAATTATTCATGGATGGATCAGAGGTTTTTGGTTACTGGCTGAACTATTGATAGTCTTCGTCATATCATTTGTTCGTGTAGAATTCAAAATGAGCGAAATGGACACAAACATGCGAAAAGCAATGAACAACATGGAAAAGGTTTATAAAAAAAAACCATAAATGCTGTGAGAGATGAAATGAACGAAATAGAAATTCGATTCAACATGTTCAACAGGGAAGTAAATAAAGTATTGATCGATATTCTAGAATTAGAAAAAGTTTATATTGACCACAAACACGATGTTAAAGATAAAATGAACGAAATAGAAAGTCGATTCAATAGGGAGGTAAGTAAATTGAAAACAGGTAAAATCAATCTTTTTATGAGCTTTGAATGTTTCAATGTGGATGTTATGATATGAGATGCTGCGAGAGAAATCGGCCTTATGCAAGTGCGCGTATACATGTGCATGTATTAGACTTTGATTGATTTTCGAATATTCTAATACGAAATAAAATATGAATTTGAGTCTGTTTTGTATGGTTC